TAGTTCACACAAGGTATGAACAGAATCCCGAAAACAGATACAGTACTGTTTGACACAAGGTGAGAGAGAGCAGTTCAGGTATGTTGACGGTGAACTCACACGGGCCGAGCTGTCATTTAGGGGGGTAGGGGAGAAGGGGGTGGGGGTCTTGACCGCACAGGAAGACAGTTTGCTGATTAGAGAGGTACACATACGTTTCAGTTTTCTAGCGAGGAAATCTCATCGATTTGACACTCAGGTAGATTATATTTCCAGTTTATTTCCACGCCGAAAAGGTAGGCTGTTTAAAGTCATCATGTTTTTTCCTGCATATTATTTTTTTGATTATCTAATGCCAGATAAAATTAATGAAAAACTTCTATTTTATAGTAACCTCCATGGTTTGATAAAATCGGGTAGAGCATTTTCATGCATTGCATTTTATAATTTTGCTTTGTTTTTTTTTTTTTTTTTTTTTTTTTTTTTTTAATTTAGACATATTAAGGAAAGTAACTAATTTATTAATGATAAAAATAAATTTTAAAAATTGAGCCTAAATGGACAAAATCAGTGTTAAAGTTATCAATGTCTTCAATTGTTTGTTATTATTTTCTTTTATATCAAGATTTTAAATAATTGTGCATACAAGCAGATCAGAGGCTAAAACACATTCCTGATATTACCAGACGATACATTGTAGATCGAAGAAAATGAATATTGTATTTAAAAAGGATATAAATCAATCCCCTGCTCATGTATCATTATAATTTTTCGGGGTGGGGGGTGAGGGGGGGGGGGTTACCTGTTCAAAGTGTCTTACTAAAAATTATACTATAGTGACTCTGCCTAATTCAATAAAAAAATTAATATTTAATTTAAAAAATCATACAATTCGATAAATTAAAAATAAAACTAGGGAATCGATAATTTCATTTCCAAAAATTAATTTTGATTCTCTGCTTCACCATGATATTATTGTTTTCTTAATTTAATTTATAATTGTTAATTATTTAAATTCTTAATTGTATTATTTTTATATTTAATCTTTTCCTTCCACGCTTTATTTCAATATTTATTTCATGATGAAAAACTAAGGGATAAAACGTTATTTTCTGTTTCTTGGTTAAATAATCTTATTTTAGTTAACAAAACGAAAAAGAAACTCGGAATACTTCGGTAGTTTCTCCCTTTAGTAAAGATAAAAAGAGAGGGTGTCCGAATAAACACGATAAACGCAAAACACGATACACGATAGAACCTGATAAACGATCTACACGATAAACGCAAAACACGATAAACGGAAAACATGATAGAAAACGCAAAACACGATAAACGGAAAACACGATACGATAGGATACGATAGGATACACGCACGATACGATAGGATACACGCACGATACGATAGGATACACGCACGATAGGACACGATAGATTTGTAAAGAATAACGATGCAGGTACTGTATATACGCAGGATGTTACCTGAGTGTATTACCTGTATGCGTTTTCCTACGACTTTGTAAACTGAGGCCGTTTTTATTCATGTTTAGCTCATGAATTGAAATGCGAAATAAAGCATTTTTGTTGCAGACAGAATCCTTCTCAGTGGCTTTCTTTTAAAATAATCGATATTTTTAATAATTCGACATTTTTTTTTATATACAGTGTGTTTCTTAATGAAGAGTTATAAAGAAAAATACATTTAGCACCAAAATCTGTCGTTGTAATCTGGCGACAAAAAGGGAAGTAATTCAAATTACACTTTGTCTACGCAAAACGAAAGAAGAAAGTGAATTATAAAACAGTTTCTTGGTAAATAACAATGAAACTTTGAAACGATGATTGGAGAATAAAATGTTGAAGTAGAAATAGTATTGTCTACATAAATATCTTCTTAAGATAAACCCTCCTTTATTTTCCATAACGCATGGTCTGTAAAAATGGCCAGGGATTCGGACCGGGGTTGTTTGTCCGACAGCTATGAAACGGGAATGCTATGAAACGGGAATGGAATCATCTACATAATGTTTTTTTTCTTTCGGGATTCATTATCAATTTCAAACATTAGATACAAAGCAAGATGTTATACTCCGAGTAATTTCTCTTCTAAAACTTATCATTATACCGTAACTTCGACACGAATAAAAGCGACACGTATAGGTGTGTTTTATAGATATAAATTCGCTTGACTCATGAACAATGTTACAATGATGTCATACTTGTTTTAAAAAATAATTTAATTTAATTCCATGATACTAGCTTCAAACGCAGGTCGGTTTATTTTGTTACTTAATGGAGAAATATATGATCGTTAATTAATGTTAATAATCGATTGTAATCGTGATATGAACTCCTCCCTTTCAAAATTAAATTTATAAATGAAAATTTATTAAATAGGCATGATTTTTCTTATTATTTATTTAATTATTTGATAGATTGATTATATTGATGGCATATTCTTCTAAATTTTAAAAGAAAAGAACGATTCGATTGCTTATTTTATCACGTTGGCATGTGCGGTAAGCATCAAAAGCCTGAAAGTTAACTCGATGGTCGGTACGATCTCAAGACAAGGTATACAAGATACACATAACAGCAGCAAACTAAATGTCAATCAAATCAAAGTATCCAATCCCAAGTTTAATTTCAGAATTTCAGTAGAATGACAGGGTTTCTAAGACCAGGTAAATTTTAAGGAGGTGCTTATTTCCTCCCCTTTTAAGAAAATGAACGCATAAAACCTTGCAAGTAGAAGTAACTGTGGTTTTGAGAAGAATTACACTGTATGAAACAGAAAATTTTAATATACGTCAGTGAAATCCTATTTTGTTTTCCTGTAATGTGTTTATTTTATAATAATAAATATAGCTACCTATGTATAATGCTAACTATTGTCCACAATAAAAGCTTTTTGTTTAAATATGAATTACATGTATACATATTCCTACTCAATCGATAATTTGTGTTTTTTTCTAGAAAAAAATGTATATCGGTATTTGATAACATTGTTTATCGTGTGCATAAAATAACATAACATTCCAGGGTTTTGGAAATTCTGTTTAAGACACATTTGTGCTATGAATTATCGAAAAATACAATACAATTTGTTACTGTATATCAAACAAATTATCTAAAGCAAAATTTCTACTTATGCGTATGTTCTTAAATATTTGCTTCTACTAATAATTTGCACTGTTTTCATTAGATTAAGGAATGTGCATATATTTTTTTTAATCATTGCATTGCATTAATCTCCGTTATTTTACAATTAAAGGATCGAATTTTTTAATGTAATTATCAATTGAATACATATGTCTGAAACACAATATTTCAAAAATTTCATTAGTTTTTCTACAAAAAAGTAAGTCGTTAAAAGTTTCAGTGCGGCCTTATTTGACGTTACCGCGTGGCTCAGTGGTCAGAGCGTCTGCTCTAGAATTGCAAAGTAATGAGTCAATCCTTACGTCGCGGGTTCGAATCCCACAGTGGTGTGTGCAGACCGGTCCTTCGGATGAGACCGTATAATACAAGGCCCCATGTCATAGTAGGTGCTGGAACGAAAAAAAAATTCCCTCCCTGCTCAATTGCCGAGTATTGGACGAAATTTGAAGATCCCCATCGGCAAGTGGTGGCGTCTCCATATGAGTGAAAAATACTCGAGAGGGACGTTAAACAATGTACAATAGATCAATTATCTTTTAAGACAAATATATGGGCTTCAGTTCTATTTCATTTTGCTTTATGCCCCGATGGTTACGCACGTATTTTTAGTATGCAACTTTACAGCAACTTATACTAATTGAAAGATTATTCGATCGTATCAAGTGATTAGCTGGTCCTCTGTCACTGATAGCATAAATAACAGGGGGACAATAAAATAAATACAAGTCCATCATTAAAAATCATTTGGATGCCCACTCCGACCGACTGATTAAAAATAGCTCGACACAAAACTTGCATTTGTATATTCCAGGACACATTTTTTTTTCTTAATGATTCTTTTTAAACCGTCAAAAATATGTTTAAATTTGCAGGGGGGTTTCAATCTTCAACTTCTCTTACTTATGCCGCAATATACCTTCATCACATGCATAAGAATCTTATAATTTTATGTTGATTCTATACGCAAGGAAATGCTCTTCCTTTAAAACTAATTGAAACGAGGTTAATTATTGAGAAACAAGTTGATGCAACAAGAATATCCGCATTCTAGTTTTAAGTCATAATTTTGTTCTATGGTTGATACAATGAACTTGTTATCAAATACAATTTATCATTGGGTAAAATGCTGAATGACATTTTTCATACTACGTTACATCGTTAGTGCATTATTAATACTCGGAATTGACAACCAATTTTCCCGATCATCACATGGCCGATGTGATTAGTTGGCATGGGATGCTCATTCCTGAATGACACCTATTCCCCCCTTTGATGGCGAGTTCTGTGTTTGCTCTGCTCTTATTTTTATTTGCTTGATGGACTTTTGAACTTGATTAGTATTCGTTATCGCCATATGTTTCTAACATGAAAATAAACGATTCGACTAAATCATCGAGGCGTCTTAATTGTTTTTTACATAAAAGCAGTATTATGAGTGCTACAGGAAGGGACTGGATCACCCTGCTGCAGTAAAAAAAAAAGCTGCATGACTACATATATTCATCTGAAAAAAGGTTTTACACAAGAATTAAATATAACCCCCCCTACATGTACCTGTTTTGTTAAGTTTACAAAAAAAAGAAACTTTTACACAAGAATTAGATGTACCCTTCCCCTACATGTACCTGTTTGGTTTTTTTTAATTTACAAAGAAATGTTGCTAAGACGGTTAGAAATATTTTAAAATTACTCAATATTTGTATTCCTCTTCATATTAGGAAAAAGTCGTTCTATTAGAGCTAGATTTATCCGTACTTAAAAAAATAAACCATCCTATCAACCGAAATATTTTAACGTCTGTCACCAAATTTCGTAATTTGTTAAGTGAAGAAAACTTCCTAGTTCCTTTAATTTCTTTTCAGTAATGCATCAGGTTGTTTTCATTTTCGCAATTGTACATTCATATGGATACGGTAATGTATTTTCTATAATCAATATATACTCATGTATCAATAGTGTGAACTGTATTTCTTTTCAATATATTCATAATTGTAAAATAATGCTAGTTGCTTATCAATTGGATTACAAAGAGAAGGATTGCAAACAAGGTAAGGCTGATATACCTTATGTCCTTTTTTCGTAATGATCTATTTTTGCTTTTTCTGCGATCATTTTTATTTCGCAAAATATAGAATACACAGAATTTATGTCAAATATTATGTGACATAAAATATTACTATTTTTGAAAAAAAATCTCAAATCGTAAAAAAGATCTGCAAAATAAAAAAAACTGTATAAATCTACCTTTTTTCGCAAAATTTTCAACACGTGAAAAAAAAATTATTGAAAAAATCAAAAAAAGATATCAAGCTTCAAAAAAATTTTAAAAATCGAACTACTCATACGAAAACGTATAAAACAGCTGCAGTCAACTAGTTGTCAATTGGAACTCAACCTTGATTACTCATTTGTCAATTGAATATGCAAAAGCGGGTAACCACTAGGAATCGAATGTAGCATTCGCCTGTTTTGTGTTTAATTTTGAGGTGACGTCAGTCGACTGCTTTTCACTGAGTTGACCATCAGTTGAATACTAATAATTTGGTAATTTTATGCAAGTAAAGAGTTAACCATTGTTGATTACTCAAGTTAACTTTGTGACATCTTGAAGAGTTGACTAACGCTGACAACTCGGGGTTATAATAGCCATCTTACTTTATTTTTATGGGGTGTAAATTAGTCTGTGTGTTTTGCTAGAAAGTTGAGAATATTTAATTAAATAAATTGATTTTTCTTAAATAATTCATTCTGTGCAATCCATGTATGGATATTACTTAAAAAAATTTTCTCCAATTTTTTCTTCAAGGCATTATTTTATTTTGTACTTAAATATTAAATGAATCCTGATTAATTGTAGTAGATCACTTTCTTTTCCAATCATATTATTTTTATACGATTTTATTTAGAAATCTAGAACATAAGATAAAGGAGGAAAACAGCTTTTGATAGAGTGTCAGCTCATTTTATTTTTATGCATTTATTTACACCCTGTGTAAAGATATTTATTGTTTTAGTATCCCCATTACTTGTTTCTTAAATTTTTAGGTCACCTGAGTAAACTCAGGTGACCTATTGCTATCCGTTTTCGTCCGTCGTCGTCCGTCGTTCGTCGTCCGTCGTGTGTTAACATTTGAACATTTTCAGCTTCTTCTCTGCAACCACTTAATCAATTTCAACCAAATTTGGCACAAAGCATCTATGGGTACAGAGGAACAAAAATTGTGAATTTCATGATCCCTGTCCCCCTTGGGCCTGAGGGGTGGGGCCAAAACCACTTAAACTAATGCAATCTTTAAAAATGTTCTTCTTTACTCCTGGACATCAAGCAGTCAAACTGTTTGCATGATTGTAATCAGCATTTAGTCCTTTACCAACATTGTGAAATTCATGGCCTTGGGGTCAGGGGTTCTAGTGCTAGGGCAGGGCTAAATAAGTAGGTAGTGAAAATGCATTATTTCTTTAGAAATCTTCTTCTCTACTCCTGGGTATTAAATAAACCAACTAAGTACATAGTTATGATGAGCAAGAGTGCCTCTACCAAAATTGTGAATTTTATTGCCCCAGAGTTAGGGGTTCTGGTGTTAGGGCGGGGCTCTATTGATTATATATAGTGAAAATACATGATTTCCTTGAAAATCTTCTTCTCTGTCCTTGGGTATTAAATATACTAACTAAGTGCATAGTTATGATGAGCATGAGTGCCTCTACGAAATTTTTAATTTTATGGCCCCAGGGTCAAGGGTTCTGGTGTTAGGGGGGGGGCTCTATTGATTATATAATGATAATACATGAATTCTTTGAAAATCTTCTACTCTGCTCCTAGGTATTAAATAAACCAACTAAGTGCATAGTTATGATGAGCAAGAGTGCCTCAACCAAAATTGCGAATTTTATGGCCCAAGGGTTCTGGTGTTAGGGCGGGTCTCTATAGATTATATATAGTAAAAATACATGAATTCTTTGAAAATCTTCTTCTCTGCTCCTAGGTATTAAATAAACTAACTAAGTGCATAGTTATGATGAGCAAGAGTGATTTACCAAAATTGTGAATTTTATGGTCCCAGGGTCAGGGTTTCTGGTGTTATTGATTATATATTGAAAATACATGAATTCTTTGAAAATCTTCTTCTCTGCTCCTAGGCCTTAAATAAACTAAGCACATATTTATGATGAGCAAGAGTGCCTCTTTTAAAATTATGAATCTTATGGCCAAGGGGTCAGGGGTTCTGGTGTTAGGGGGGTGGGGCTTAATTGATTATATAATGAAAATACATTAAATCTGAGAAATTTTTTTTCTTTGTCTCTGGGTATAAAGCAGATGAACTACCTTTATAGTTATGATGAGCAAGGGCCCTAATCTTGCAGAATTGTGAATTTCAAAGCCCCAGGGTCAGGGGTGGGATGGGGGCTCTACTTATATACTTAAAATGAATTTATTGTTTGAAATCTGCTCTTTTGTATTTATAAAACATTTATTTATTTTTTGATATTAAGGGTGCCTTTTTGAAATTTGTGCAATGTGTGGACATAGGGTCAGGGGTTTATGTCTCAGTGTTAGGGGCACTACTGGTTAGTTGGAATGCATTTTTGTTCCCCTACCCTGCATATGGGTATTCAGTAACCAAGCTAAGCAACTGCTAAGTGTATTGTTATGAGGATCAATAGTGCCTCTTTCAAAATTGTGAATGCCATATAGCATCTGGCTTAAAACATGAATCAAATTCAATAACTGGAAAATTGTTGCATAATGCTCAGGTGACCTATAAGGCCCGTGGGCCTCTTGTTAAAGCTTATTTTGAAAGCAAGAAATAAAATCATTATGATTGTAAAACTAAAAAAAAAAAAAAGAAAAAAAAAACTTTTTTACTTTTCAAAGTAAAAAAAAAAAAGAAATTCTATGAAACGTGAATATTTTCTTTTCTTTGTATTTTCCGCATTGATGCAATATTTAGATGTACAGAAAGACGTTCTGTTTTTAGCAGTTATATTTTAAATGGTTTAAAACATGCTTAAATACCAAAAGTATATTCGAAATTCCATGTTTTCAAATATACGCAAAAACAAATAAGACTTAAAGTAAGCTGTATTGTGTACAAACAAACTTTAAGATATGATTAATGTTTTTCACAGGATGCAGTAAATCGGGTTTCTATGGATCCAACTGTTCTCTTTCGTGTCCTAGCAATTGTTGGAATGATAATTGCCACATAGTAACGGGTACGTGTGATGGATGTAAACCTGGATATCATGGTGATCGGTGTGAAATAGGTACGTGGGATTTAAATTAGAAACGATTTGCGTAATAAAGTGTATTCTAAATAAGGTACACGAACTTTAAAGTAGGCACTTTTGGCATTTGAATAAAGAATAAGTGAGAGTTGAATTAAAAACATAAAGGGTTTTCGTTGGGTATGTAAATTTTTAATTCGGTATGTAAAATTAGAAATACAGTTGGTAAGTGAGATCATTAACCTAAGAAATTTGCCTTGGGTGCGTGCTATTTGAATAAAGTATGTGAGATCCGTTATCACTGGGCTTTTTTTCAAAAACACAGACTGAAAAAAGTATCTTTAAGTTAACATTTTTGAACAAAACACATACATATTTAATTGCATATAAAGAGTCAAATGTTATATTGAAATGCATAGTAGCATATAAGTCCTTTGAACAACATGCATAATTCTCAAGAGTATAATATTAATATAGATGATAAATACAATAACTGTATGCTTTATGATAGTTAAGAGAAATGTCTAAGGAATACAGTTTTGTCTATTTGATCAATTGATTGACTTGATAATTTTATACATCAACGCGTTCGGTTTTATGCAAATTATCACACAAGGCACACCATTGAAATAGTCATGAAATCAAAAACAGACATTTATTCCTTATATTTACATGTTCTATATTGGACGCTATTCCACGTGCTCCCTAAGTGTTTTCTTAACACACCTATCGATGAACATTGCATTTATAGAGAAATAAATTAAGTTTACAATTCGTAATTTATTTCGAACAAAAGACATTGGAAATGTAAATATATTGAGATAAAGAACCGTTTTTAAGCTCAGAAGTCTCCAAGAAATCAAAGGTCGGTTCAAGTGTTTTGAAGGAGTGCGCATTCCCTATCAACCGTGATCAATCATAATCGGAAATAACGGAAAAATCCGTACTTAATTCAAAGTATACTGTAAAAGCAAAAATATTCGTGGGGGATTAAATTTCGTTTATTTCGTTGTTAACAATTATCAACGAAATTAAATCTCACACGAAGTTTTATATGACTATAAATTGAATAGGGGTACTTTCAAAACAACGAAATTAAATCCCCACGAAACTATTCTAGATGACAAAACAACGAAATTTTATCCCCTCGAAAATTTGTGCTTCTACAGTATATAATGGCCGAACAATTGGTATAAGATCGTAAGTATTTAGTTTTATGATAAAATTTGTATTCTGACAATGTAATTGTATCGACCATAGGACTTACGATACTTTAATTTTTACAAGCGAGAGAGAGAGAGAGAGAGAGAGAGAGAGAGAGAGAGAGAGAGAGATCATACGTTTCGTCTTCGAAAATATCAAATCATTATTTACAGAATGTAATTCCAATATGTTTGGAATTAATTGTTGGGAGATGTGTGGAAATTGCAGAGATGGAGCTCAATGCCACCATATAACTGGAACTTGCCCATCAGGATGTTGCCCAGGGTATTTTGGTGATACTTGTACTGAAGGTATTGATGTTTTTATATAGTTATCTTTTTTAAAGAAAGGAAAGCAATGTAATGATTGAATGGTTGTATGTTTTTAGGCCGCAGATTGATGAATATTTCAGTTACATTGAGAAGTCACCATATACTTATGAAATGTTTCAAATTGACCTTTGATCGGCACTGAGAGCCATTGGGCACTGTGGAATTTTTGCGTAACACCCCTTACAAAAATACTATAGATTACTTTATCTTTACCTTAAGTGAAAACTTTGTCACTATGAGAACTTTGATTTGCTATTATATCGTAACTCCGATACTTAGATTTACTAAAGTCCTTACTTTAACATTTTGATTTATTTAAATGATTACCATGAAATCGATTAATCCTAGGATATGTTCCTAGAATATATAAGAATAAAATAATTACATTTGAAAAAAAAAGCTTTATCTTGAAATAATCTACCCTTAAACAATCAGTTTAATATCCCTCTATACTCTAAAATTATGGTTAAACCAAAATATAAAAGATGCAGCTATTGGCTGGGGTGCTAAGAATATGTTTTCAGTGTGTCCATAAAGAGAAGGTAAACATTAATGGTTAACATGAGATTATTAATTCAAATCTCTATATTAGAGTGAAAAAATGATGTTTAAAATACTCAATGATTTTTTTTTATAGTTGAAAGCATATTTGAAGACAACCTTAGAGCCTACATTCACGCCGGTGAGATGGTCGTTTCTGCCATTGTTGTTTTTCTTCTTCTTCTTTGCTTTTGCGTCAAATAACCTACGTCATCAACTTAAGGTAAAAAAAAAATGCCACCTCTATCTAATTTGTTCATACCCTTTAAATCAAGCTCCCTTTGATATAAAAATACATGAAATTTAGAGCACAATATATAAGATATTTCTATTAAAACACAAAAATGAATGACATTTTTCCCCGTTATTTGCTTTAGAGTCGAGATCAGAGAATTAAAAGCAAAGTAGAAGAACAATGTAAAAGGGTCACAGAGTATGGGTAATGGAGAGGAAACCAAGAATCAGTTGATTGTACTTCCAAAACGTATTATCAAGAATTAGGAGTGAACAGTGATCAGGAAAAAAAAATAATTATAGAAATTAATGTACAGAACTACAGTGAAGATCACACAGAAAATAAGATATTAATGAAACAAATATGATCAAATGAAAAATTCTGAATTTTAATTAAATGTATTGAATAGAAATGCTTTTGTATATTGATAAATCACCCGGAAGCTGATAATGCATTAGGGTTTATTAATTTGATCTATAGAGAGTCATCATTTAACTTGATTTCTATCGGTCGCATTTCAATGCGGTCTTTACTACACTAAAGCATGGATATATATTACATGGTACATAAGAAAAATATTTATGTGTAAAATTTGTAATGTAAACGCGGTATAGTTTTTAGTTTTTTTACGCTTTACTATTGAAATATATGGGAAAAGGACTTTTTTCCGCAAATTTTGTGAAAATAGTTTCTTTTAAAAACTATGGATAACTATTTAAGGTCGTAGTCAAAAATATAAAAATGTCAAGACGAGGTGAAATAAAAACGATTGATATGATAAAATCAATATGTCTTCTCGCTAGAATTTTTGCTCTTATATTGCTACAAGTAAAAGCTTTTCAAAAAGCTTGCCTGACGTAATCAATCAATATCTGTAAGAGAAGTGATAAACATTTTGAGCAATACTTTTTTGTGTTTGAAATATGTCTTTTTATTTGAGAACCTTGTAAAGTTATTTAATAATTTAACTTGTAAAAGAACAATGCCTTTGCTGCTTTCTGAAGAGTTGTAAACAGAATGGATATCTTATCGGTCCCATTCCGCGGTCCTTATCTAGGGAAGGATACCACAAATGTTTTGTTAATTCAAACGCAATTACACCCCCCCCTTTTTCATAAACTTTGAAATAGAAGCATGGATTATGTATATAGACCTATTTTCTGTGGAATATCGAGTTAACTTTATTCAATGTAATGATATTATCTAAAATATACTATAGAAGGGACTTCTAACTCCGATTTTACTATGAACATAAAATGTATAATTTTTTATCATCTGATGATGTCGATACATTCGAGTTTTTTTCGACCTCTGACGAAAAGACCCGAGATGATGCGATTGACTTTTCTGCAAGTAGATTGATCTATCCCTGGATCTAAATTCAAAGCTACACCTATCCTGAAATCTGTTGTCAAATCATTCATTGTAAACATTTTAGAGAATGGATATAACTAAATACATATGTTGTAGGAAAGCATTTTCTCCAATGAAGTAAACAGTAGTAGTTCGTTCATTGATCTTTTTTTTTCTGAAACGTGGGTACTATAATTTTTTGAGAACGAAATAGGTAAAACCAACATCTTGGCCTTTGTGGAAAAGAAATCCAAGATTTCGCACAGGTAATTTCTTTCGTCAAATCGGCTGGAGTTGAACTGCGTCGATCGTTTGTGGTGATTTGACTAGTCAATTAAAATATGGAATGAAACAAATTAGAGAAATCATTTCTTTTGTTTTGCACGTCCATATTCTGATACATACGATTCATATGTTGTTTTAAGGAATAAGATATAATTTGTAGATAGAATTTCTAAATCATGAGAAAATGGAGGTTACAACTAGAGCCGAGCTCGTTGCAAAGCAACGAGTAGGTCTTCCGTCCTGTTTGACCCGAAGTAACTTTCATTTTAAAAAAAAAGAGTAATGAAGTCCAAAAATGGGTTAATCCTCCAAATCTATGTTAAGTATAGCAAAATTAAGCCATTCTTTGGTACTTCCGGTTTGACCGGAAGTGACGACGACAGACGGAAAATTAATATTTAAGCTTCTAGTGAGACATGTTACCCAAAAACCTGTCAAAAATGGCAAAAATATGCATTTTCTGACTACTTCCGGTTAGACCGGAAGTGACGTCGCCGGACGTATTTTGACCCCATTAGATAAAGCTTGATATTTTGAACAACTTTGCTTCTTTGATGCATAACAAATTCTCAATACTTTTTGAGATATCTGGAAAAAACTTTTGGCCCCTCTAGGTCCCTTAATTTAGGGGTCAGCCCTTTTTTCGACATATCATTTGAAAGATCTTCTAATTTTGCACAAATTATGTTCTGTACATTTTAACAAAATATTTTTAGTTTAGAAGATAAAAAAAAAATATGAGTAATTTTTGGTTCTTTTAAGCGTTCTAATTTTTGACCCCTATATAGCACCATTTTGAATACAGAAATCGAAAAACAAAAACCAATGTGCACAACTTCAATCCTTCTATTATCTAAAATAAGTAGAATTTTTGCTCCAGCTTCAGCCGTCTCTGAGCCTTTGTCTGGAAACGAAAGCCTATAAATTTTCCTTTAAAGGGAAATAACTCAAAACCGGAAGTGGCTTTTTGAAATTTTAGACATCATTCTGATAGAGTTTATTAACATCTATAACGTCTAAAAATTTGAGCGAAATCCGTTGAGAAATGAGCGAGATATGAGGCCTCAAAGTTGCGGTCTAGGAAGCAGAAGAAAAAAAAAGAATAACTAGAGCAAAGCTCGTTGCAAAGCAACGAGTAGGTCTTCCGTCATGTTTGACCGGAAGTGGCTTTCATTTGTAACAAAAATGAAAAATAACGTCCAAAAATGGTTTGATTTCTCTAAAACCATGTTAATTATTGCAAAAATAAGCCATTTTCTGTTACTTCCGGTTTGACCGGAAGTGACGACGTCGGACGGAAAATTAATTTTCAAGGTCCCAGAGACATATGTTATCAAAAAACTTGTCAAGAACAGCAAAAATACGCGTTTTCCGACTACTTCCGGTTTGACCGGAAGTGACGACGCCGGACGTATTTTGACGACTTTAATAAATTGAGCTTGACATTTTGAACAACTTTGCTTATTTGACGTATCACAAATTCTCAATACTTTTTGAGATATAAAGGATAAACTTTCGGCCCCTCCAGGCCCCTAATTTAGGGGCCAGCCATCTTTTCGAGATGTCATTTGAAAGATCTTGAAATTATACACCTTTTTTGTTCTACATGCTTTAACAAAATATTTCTAGGTAAAAAGTTATCGTTGAAAAGGTGCTTAAAATTTTGAAATTCTTGATAGGACTATTTTCGGGCCATAGCGAGCGTCGGCGCTTCGTACTTCCGGTGGTTGTGATATACTTAGTGCACTTCTCCAAAGGTTGCTTTAAGCATCACTAAAAATTTCAAGCTTCTGTGTTAAGTGCTTTCTGAGAAAACTGCCGGACAAAGAGACCCTCTAAAAATCACTAAATCGCAGAAAACTCCGAACCGGAAGTGACGTCATCAAAATAAAAAAATATATATCTAGATTTTTTGATGTTCTATCAGACCTGAAAGTTTCATGAAAATCGATCGAGCCGTTCTCGAGAAATCGCGCGTACAAAATCGGTAAGAAAAAAAACAATAATAATAAAAATAGTGGAAAAGAAACCTAAGAAAAACAATAAGGTCTTCCGCTAAAGACGGAAGACCTTAATAATCTTTACCAACAGAATCAGTAGAAGGTCTTCCGTTGGAAACGGAAGACCTTAATAACAAACTTTATTTAATTCCATGGAAGTTAGCACCCCCCATTCATACAATAGAACAATCCAAGAAAAGGCGCGAAGATTGCTTACTCGTAACATTTGAGCGATTCACCCCTTTTGTAGAACATAAATGGACTGATCCAGTAGTGTAGAAATGCAGAAAAAAAGGTACACGGACACGTTGAAAGGGTAAACCACATGGAATAATCTGTTTCATGCAAACAGAGTAAACAAAGTAAATACTGCATTATTTTGCATCAGTAAAATCACTGTTGCCCTGAAAAAAAGTTTCTTTTCAAATGCAGGTAAAAGATTTCCAATGTAAATCAGCTTGCACAAAATCTAGCTCTCTGGGTATGATCTATTAGTTTCGGATCAAGCAATTATCAATCCTTATACAGTCGTGACGTCAGGCAATAATGTTGCGTTTATGGTGTTATTTATGTCTACAACGTCATAAGTTGAACGTAGTCACGTTAACAGCACGAGTATGAGTATGTTGTCATTTGGAATATGCAAAATCTAAAAGGTGACATAGATGCAAAATTTGGTTTTAGTCAAACAAATATGAATGACCAACAACTTATTTTCACTAGTATTGTGAAATTCACATTCTGTTCACAAAGTGTGAATGAACGTTAAAACAGTGTTCGTGCATGAAAATTAACATGCAGCAACAGCGACGCAAGTGATAAAATATTAGTTCCTGACTTTCTGTATGTTTAGAAAATTCATGGTCAACAGGATTTCAGCCATAACACATAAATTTGATAACATTTTTCGAAAACGGAAATATACCACGTCGATACGGAAATAAGTGGGGTTGTGTGCAGAGTGGTAGTGGTGGGTGGGGGAGGGGGGGAGACTGCAGTGTTCTTTTTATATTAGTGGCAAGTTAGTATATGGCCCGAACTCTCAAACATTTGTTAAATTCGAGTTCTCTGTATCAAAATTACAAACACAAAATGTAAAACTCTCCCATTTAGCTTTAAATATAAAAAAAGAATTATACTTGTAAATTGTTTACAGTGTCATATAGGTCTTACAGCCCAGGTATTTGAATAAATTTGGTTTTTAAATGCACTTCACAATTCGTTATCCAGCAAAACATAGGGACTACACGCAATTTCAAATCATAGTAACCAAATAATAATTATAAACTTTCTTTCTGCATACCATAACTTTTACGCTGACCCTGTCTGATTGACTTTAAGCAATTTAATAACACTTACTCGTATAACTTATTCCTTTCATTTGATGTTGTATTTGATTATCCTAGGACATTACATATAAACCCATCAGAATTTAGACTGAAATATTTATTTTAAAACATGTACGACGTTTACATATAATAACATTCACTTTGTATTAATCAAGTAGACTTGTTTCGTACAACTTAACAACGTAACATTGCCTTTGTGGCGTAAGTGATCTCATAAACTAATGTGCTCAAAACAACCACTCGAATTTTCGAAATTGTGCACCAAAACTAATGAAAAAAGCGAACCCGCGACCTACTTTAAATATTTTAAGCTTTCGTAAATATAACAATCTGAACAAATCAGATTTAATAATTCTTTCTTGAGACAATTTTGTAAATTTTCACATAAATATTTTTCTAAAGTACAATGTAATATATATCCAAGCTTTAAATTTAAAGACATTTTAATGAAAAGTAAGACAAACTTATTCTTTAAAGTATTGAAAAATCTGAATTATTGATTGATTGTATACTGTTTAAAGTCCCTCTCCAGAATATTTCACTGATATGGAGACGTCACCATTGCCGGTGAAGGGCTGCATGCAAATTTAGGCCTTTGCTCGGCACTTAAGGCCTTTGAGCAGGGAGGGATCTTTATCGTGCCACACCTGCTGTGATATGGGGCCTCGGTTTAAACGGTCTCATCCGAAGGACCGCCCAATTTAGTCGCCTTTTACGACAAGCAAGGCGGTACTGAGGACCTATTCTAACCCGGATCCCCACGGGGCAAAAATCTGAATTAAGAACAGTCTTCCATATAATATTGATAGTAGCATGATGCAGATACCAATTATAAAGAACGATATTCTACGTTTAATCTTTTACTGTTTCAAACTAAGACCGCTTGCTCTTAGATTAAGCCATTATAAATGAAACAAACTTACATGTACGTGATGTTCGATTTTTTGACATATACCATATCGTAATATCTTACAAAATAAACACAAGTTTAACGCCTGAAACATCTCGCCAAAACACAAAAAAGCTAATCATGTTTTTTAAGCCAATCAGTGTCAAGCAAAGAGTTCGTGCTTGCTTGTCTTAACTACAAAGATATTCTTCCAATCTTAATTTTATGGATTGATTCATTGTGTTTTGATTAAGACGAGAACAGATTCAAGAAAAAAATTACACGGCATCGATATTTATTTTCAATCAGAACTACACTCATAACCGAACATTTACTCTTAAGTAAACAAAAAAAAATAATAAACAGGCACTTCTTATCTGTTTTAATTGAATTATTATTATGGAAATTCGAAATTGAATAATAAAAAAAAAACTGGCGAAAACGGAACTGCCAGACGAGGATATTTTGTTGATGACAGTGTCAGATCACAAGTGTTATTTTTAAGAATCGCTAATTTCAAATTCTCGACCTTACAAAAAATAAGTAATTCAGAGCTATCAGTTCTCCGTACCTGTGTGTAGAAGTCATAAGTTGCATTTGGAATTTCCAAGTAAATCGCTTGGAATTCTTCATTTGGAATTTCCGAATCAGAGTATTGAAACAACTTTCCAAATGGTTCCAAATGACTTCCAAGGTGTTTCCAAATGATTAAAACTCAATTTTTTTTCTTGTAGAAATTTCTAGAAAATTCCAAATGACTTCCAAGTTGCTTCCAAATGACTAAATGGATTTATTCAGCAAATAATGCTAGGTTTTCATTGGCTTATTTAAACATGTTATCTAAATAACCAATGACCAGCGATTTGAAAATATATTCATCACAAAAACATTATTCTACTGGCATCATTTAATAATATTCTTATTCAAAGTATTTAGAAGAAAACAAACATCCCCGGTAAACTAATAATCTGTAAAACTGTTTTATGAATTAAAATATCAAATGATCAAATGCAAATCCAAATAACAATTAGTAAACGTTAAATGTCAATACCGGTAAATAAAGGTATTTGCTTGGTTTATGAACTTACGGAGATGATAAAAGTACGACACTTTTTATTATCATCAAGAACATGTCTTGAGGCAATAAATCATTCCAAAAATATTGAAATCCACTTTTCACACAGTTTCCATTTGAAACTGTCCACTGATGTTATTCTTTTTCCGAGGTGGAAATGAAGAAGATACATGTACCCCTGGTGGAGTCACACACTTAGAAATGTCAAATATATCCTTTGGATTACTACACATAAGATTTATCATCCATTCAACGTGATCATGATGCAACTCGGATGCAACACTGTTCAGGTTTGAACCCAGAATGGGTTTGAACCGCCTGATTTCAAAATTTACGAGGTCGAGCCCGAGATAAGACCTTGAGCCTGATCAGTTGATAACATAACATCTTCTTCACACAGGTAGCGTTGTAATAGTAAAAAGCCGTGGAATTAAGTGTAAGACTATTGCCTTTTAGTGTCAAATTCATATTTCATATTTTCTCTCATCTTTGAACAAACCAGAGGAAATCAAGCGTGTTGTCGGTCTACTTTTATTTTGGAAGCGTTGTTGTTACAGTTAATATGGTGAAAGTCGAATCATTCTGAACAATACTTGTACTTACGATGATAATTCACTTAAACAACATTCGAGACACTTTTATGAGTTCATTTTATTGATTGTTCTGATGGTTTCAGTTGAACTTTATCTATATTCTTCTTGAGTACGTTTCATTTACACATTGTGGCATTATGTATTTCTACGTAACACTGTAAATGATATCGGATTGTCTCAGAGAAATAAAAAAATGTATTTGAAAATATAAGAATTTTAATAAAAAAAAGCAACACATAAGAGCGAATATCAATGGTTGTGTTGTACATCTATTCCTACTGTTTTACGGAGTTTTCGAGGCATGAGGTATTACCTGACCGTGATAAATGAATGATGGGTTAACCGTGCGTAAACAACGCAATTTAAGAATAGGATAATATGTATACTTTTAAAAAATATATATAATTTGTCAGCTGATTTCAAACAGGACAAGAAAACTTCCTTCTCTATTTGATGCATTTTCAACAATTATAGGATATAAAAAAGTTATACAATTGTATAATGAAAAGCATGTACTAGAGCTTTCGTTAAAAAAAACAACATCGGTGATTCGTTTGCACTCCGTATTGTAAGAGGATAATTTCCTTTTCCCTTTTTAAATATTCAAATGCGGTTATTGATTTGTTTTTTAAAAAAAAAACTGTGATTATGTAAACTCATGGTTAATGCAAGAAAACATGGACAACTTATATGATTCATCGGTTTCGTTTTTGCAATTTTGCCTAATTTTGAGCATCACCCAGTTTTCTTTTGAATACGGTATGTCTGATTTTTACTATTTTTTTTTCTTTATATTCTACATTTTGCTACCGTTTGCGACTGTAAATTTTGTGATGAAAATATGATTTTGAGACACAAGATTTATTAAGACGCTTGGATACAAAAATTTCAATAGGTCCTATTTGAGGTGACGTCAAAAGAAATAAACATTTGAAATATGAGAGCTCTAGTACTTACCCTCAAAATTCATGGTCAAAGTATTACGCGGGTATGTTAAGGAAGCATATAAGTCATTTTTCGGGAAATTAAGACTTTTTAAAGAAAATTTACCAAAACCGCTGATAAGCGTAAAGTATTATTATCTATTGCATTAAGATAAAAGAGTGTCTAACGCAACGACGTGCAGCACCAACACGGCATCACGTGACTTCTATTTATAGCCAAATTTTCCTTAATAAAAAAGCAACCAGAACAACAATACCCCAGAGTTTAATAATTTCTTTGAGTAAATAATGTAGTCGAAAAACATCTATTTTGCCTATAAAGTGCTGCTAGAATCCCACTGTCCCGTCAGTAAAATAATTATTCCACACACTTGCACGAAACCTTACCCAATGTTTTGAATTTTTTACATATGAACCGAGATTTTTCGTAAAACCATGCTTAACTCGGGATTCTAGCAGCACTTTCCAAGTATATTGGGATGCAAGCTTTCCATCTGTACAAATTTTATGATTTGAAATATACAGCTTATTGTTGTTCTGTTGCATTATTTTTGTCACAATTGACAGAGGAAAGGCCGACCGGGATACGTATAAAGCTGACTGTCTTCGAAAGAGAATATAATCGATAAATATAAATTAGCATACCTGTTTTATTAACTGAACTCCATATGAATTTCACAAGATATTCACGATATTTGCTTTTAAACTCCATTTTACGTATCTTTGTTCATGCCGTCATAGCCAAATTCCCTTTACACGACATGATCAATTCCCGATCAATTCCCAAGCTACTTGATGTACACATATGACGTCATCGGTGTTAGATTTTTAGAATACATCATAACGAAATAAGAACATTTTATTTTTGTAAGTGTTTTCACGTATCTATTCATTTTCTAGAGTTAAATTACATCTCTAAATACCAATATTACAACTTGTGTTCTAAAATTTACGTCATCTCGCCTACTATGACGTCATAATGTAGCACTGATTTAGTCAAGGTAGAATATTTTGTATGCTTCCTTATCCCCCCTGCGTAACTTTTAGAAGTGGGTTAAATCTTTGAGTCAAGGTCAATTATATTTATAATTATGACAAGGTCTTGTCACAAAGAGTACACAGGTGGCGAATTAAATACCTAGAATAAACTTTTAAAAAATAATGACATGTATTTGTTTTCCTGACAAGGCCATCCCTTATTATCTACCCTTTGACAACCTTTAAAAAACCCTAGCCTGTGTTGATGCTGTTACTTTCCTGTTTTCTATGTATTTTCGTTGAGGCAGGTCTTAACTTAATTTTTATATCCTTGAACTTGACCTAAGATATTGACTAGAAATTGAGAAACTTTAACCAAGTCGCCATTAGTTGCCATGTCTGGGCATTAGTGTTTATAAAAGACATCTGATTAATTCTCTAATCAACAAAGTAATCTTTCGTTACTCAAGTACAGGGAAGAGTCAAGATGTTACACTTTTGTTTTGTCACTCGCTATTGCCATTTTCAGTTCGCATTAATCAGTACATGATTTAACAATTCTGCAAATCAAGAAAAATATCTTCTTTTTGTTGGAATTCCATGAGTTTTGGTTCATTTGAAGTATTTCTAATGACAAATTGGAACTGGTATGATATGATTAAAGCAAAACATTGCTTTTCAAGAATCTAGTAAATGTGGTCAATAAGTCCAAGATTAATTTTTATTCTAAATATTTGTTTTCTTTAATAATTAAAAAAAAATGCATTTCCATTTCCAAAGATACATTGCAGGTTCCAGTAAATGTTCAACCAAGCCTCTTTCGTTACTTCTCACTAAAATAATGACAGTAGTGAAGGAAAAACTTCAAGAGTACTGTGCAACTATATACTCAAGAAGTGGTGTAAATCAGATGTGGATACTTAAAAATTCTAAAGAACTTTTGGACAATTTGAAATCACAAGACTTCACAAAAATCAACAGCTTAAAAACTTACGACTTTTCAACTTTATACACAACGATTCCCCACGACAAATTAAAATCCAGGCTTTTTGATATCATTGACAGCTGCTTCTTCAACAAAAATGGAACTCGTAAATTTACTTACCTCGTCATTGTTCATTTGAAAAATTATTTTGTTAAAACAGATTCTGATTGCACACATAAGTACTCTGAAGTTGACATCAAGAAGATGCTTGAGTTTCTGATTGACAATATCTATGTGGTTTTCGGAGACCAGGTATTCCAACAATCTATATATTGGAATTCCCATGGGTACAAATTGCGCCCCGTTATTAGCAGACTTATTTTTATTTACATATGAAGCAGAATTTATACAAAATCTTATGCGTGAAAAGAAGAAAACACTTGCTGTGGCCTTCAACTCGACATTTAGATATATCGACGACGTATTGTCAATTAATAATGATAATTTCCATTCCTACGTCGATACGATTTATCCTGGTGAGCTTGAGATAAACGATACCACAGAGTCCGACACTTCTGCTTCATACTTGGATATTTTACTTGAAAAAGACACTAATGGTAATCTAACAACCAAGCTATATGATAAACGTGATGACTTTAACTTGTCTATCGTCAACTTCCCTTACTTATGCAGCAATATACCTTCATCACCTGCATACGGAGTATATATATCTCAGTTGATTCGATACGCAAGAGCGTGCTCTACGTATGAACAATTTCTTAAACGAGGTAAATTATTAACAAGCAAGTTGATGAAACAAGAATATGAACAGTCTCGTTTAAAGTCATCATTTCGTAAATTCTATGGTCGATACAATGACCTTGTTAGCAAATACAATTTATCATTGAGTCATATGCTGACTGACGTTTTTCATACCAATTGTTAGTCCATTATTTGTACACTGAATTGACGACAGATTTTTTCCGTTATTTCCTGATCATGACAACGAGCACACGGCGGGTGTGACCGGTCGGCAGGGGATGCTCACTCCTCCATGGCACCTGATCCCACCTCTGATGTTTCAGAGGTCCGTGTTTGCTCTGCTTTTATTTTGTATATTGTTTAATGGCGTTGAGATTGAATACTGTTCGTTATCTCCATATCCTTCTTCTTGAAAATGTTCATAGCCCTTGTCAAAGTTTTACAGAAGTGTTTAATGTTATATTTTTCTTTTTTATTGGATTATTTTATTTTTATTACAGGCAAACTTAAAAGTAGATTGTGTATATTGATAAATGTTCATTTTCTTTTTTTCTAGAAAATTTGGCCCTGAATAAACAAACATGGCAAGCAAAGCCGTATATTCTTAATAAAACATTTCATTCCGGTAACGCTGTTGATGGACTTAAGACAGATCTCAGGGCTTTTGGAGGACAATGTGCAATATCAAACCATTCACAGAAATCTGCTACGTGGTGGGTAAATTTGGGATCAGTCTCCAGCATACACCATATCCGGATTTATTATAGGACTGGAAATGCAGCATGGGGTAAAAAGACAACATCTTTTATATAACACATATTGATCTCTGTTTTTATGTGTTATATTTTTCAAATATCTCGTATCTTTAAGTTACATACTTGCATGCTTGTTTTAGCACATTTGGAAAATCCATACATCAAGTATTTCGGATTTTTCTGATCTATAAAAGTTTTATTTTAGACAACTCGAATGGCTTCACCGCTAGATTTCTTGGATTCTATCTTTATGTATCAAACACAACAAACAGACTCGGTGGTCATCTCTGCTTCCACGATACAATCTACAACAGATCCACAATACCTGCTGTTATTAACATAAGTTGTCCTGTACACGGACAATATGTCATCTACTATAATGAGAGACCACAGAGTTCACAATACGCTTATCAATTTTCAAAGGACGCATTAAATGAACTGTGTGAAGTGGAAGTTTTTGGTATGTTCCTTTTTCTTCTCAAGTGGCATTCATAAGGGAGTGACTTGTATTGTAGGAAAATAAGTCTTTTAATAAGAATCTTTGTTTTCTTTTTTATGAAAAGGATGCAATGTAGGCTTTTATGCGCCAAACTGTTCCAGTACATGTCCTAGCAATTGTCAACATCCTTTCTGCAACATTGAAACAGGTGCTTGTCAGGATTGTAAACCGGGGTTCAAGGGATCCCAATGTGATTTAAGTAAGGGATAAATGGAATAGAATTTTTATGAAATATACACTAAGACAATTGATATTAAACTACATGATAGGGTTGCAATACATTGCAGTAGAGGAAAAAATTCTAATAGGGACTTAGACTTTTGGAGCATAGTGATGTCATAAATTAACGAGGATACGTCATTTTGTAACATATAACCAATAAAACAAATTAGAATAATTCTGAAATTCTACAATATTATACAGTAAAGACAATTTTTGAAAATGTATATGAAAATTAATATGGCAAGCGCTATCTGTCTCTCTCCTTCTCTGTCTGTCTGTCTCTCTCTCTCTCTCTCTGATTACAAATATACTTCAGTGTTGCTAGCTTACATGTATGTTCAATACATATATTTTTTCTCTCTAGAATGCAATGATAGATATTATGGGGAAAATTGCATCAGCCTTTGTGGAGATTGTCTGAACTTTGAAGAATGTCATCATGTTAATGGATCTTGTTTGAATGGTTATGATGCAGGATTTTTTGGAGAAAAATGTGATCGACGTAAATACAATTTATATAGTTTTTTTTTCTATGTTCAATAATCTAACTCCACAATTACATGTATTCACCTATTTCACAGATGCGCATCCGCCTAAAAATATACAGTCTCATAGATTTAATCATAACTTATAATCTGAATACTTTATGTCTATAACAATGATTTTATATGTATAAGTGAATTTGCTATCCATATCCTTGGGTAATTCATATTTGAAGTATTTTAGATTTGAACATTCCATTACTGATGGATTTTTCCTTTTAAAATCCGCATTTTATCTCTTTTTCTTGATATGTAAGTCTGCCCAGTTGGATTATATGGACGAAATTGTGAAAGAACTTGCAGTATAAACTGTCTAAATACAAAAAGATGTGACTCAAAGTCTGGAGCTTGCCAAGGAGGATGTAAAACAGGTTGGAGAGAACAAGACTGCGAACACGGTATGAACACATTTCTGAAGATTTAAATTTATCCTCAATTTTTAAGGCAGAGAGAGAGAGAGAGAGAGAGAGAGAGAGAGAGAGAGAGAGAGAGAGAGAGAGAGAGAGAGAGAGAGATATAATAAAGCATCTTTTTCATTGTTAATGAATTTGTAGAGTGTGATTCCAACATGTTTGGGGTAGAATGTAGTAAGCAGTGTGGACATTGCCGGGATGGATCTCAGTGTCACTATGTTAATGGAACTTGTCTCTCTGGGTGTGACTCTGGGTATACTGGTGATGCATGTACCGAAGGTACTTACAATAACAAAACTTGAAATTGTGTTTTTAAAATAAGATAATAGTTTTATAAAATTAGAAAGGTTGATTCCAATTATCTTCCATTAGAAGTATCAATGAATCAATTTAACTTAATCAATTTCTCGATCTGCATTGATAACGCGATTGAATCATTGAATTTTATATTTCAACTTTCATAATCAACATGAATGTTCCAACAAGTATAGCCTACAGTTATCGTAGTTCAACAGCTGCTGTTGTATTTGTTCATAACATTTGGATCTATATTTCTACAAAGCGGGTTCACACTTAAATTCTGGTTATGAGATTATCTTTCATACTCTGCCGGTGTTTTCCCTTAAAAATAGTATACCAAGTGTAATTTGCGTGTTGGAATATTTATCTGATGATAAATTGCAAATCAAAAAGTCATCAGTCGAAACTATATGAGCAATATTACAAGATCTAGACCTATAACTATAATTTGAATTAAACCTTTTATTTCAATAGCTTGTGGACCAGGAATGTATGGTATTGGCTGTAAACAAAAGTGTAGTGCATTTTGTTCCGTGTCAGGTATTTGTGATCACGTGACCGGAGCCTGTAAACAGGGCTGTAAAAGTGGATGGATGGGACTGGATTGTCTAGAGGGTAAGACTATGTGATATCAGCCTGTACTTTTTAAAGTGACAGGTTCGTGTGGTAGACAGATAAACCCATTAGCAGTGAAATATAACGTATATTTTTATAAAAAGAATGTAACAAGTCTGCCTTATCAGGATTGTTATCATTTTCATTCTTCCTTTCGAAAAGAAAAGAAAATCATTCGTGGGTAATACAAGTAAGTCCAAAGTCTCAAATGTACATGAACAGTTGGACTACATCAATTAATTACTTATTAATTTGAAAAGATCTTGTTTATCATGTTTATAGTGAAAGAAACAACTGGAGGGAATACTGCCCTCTACATAGTCAGCACCTTTCTCTGCATATGTATTACAGTTATTGCGGTTCTAGTAGTTTACATCATTCGCACGAGGTAATACATAACCCAATTAATGTGTTTTTAATTCAGAAAAAAAAATATTTGATTATCAAAGGATTCTTGTTATAATCGCGATTTGAGTTGTAAATATTTACTGCAAAACAAAAAATCAGTAAATCAATTTGTTATCTACAGTATGCATTCAGCAATTTAAATAATTTTTTTTCAGGGGCAAAAACAGGGAGCTTCAAACAATAAAAAACAACTCAGGTAGCAAGTCAAACCGTTTAAGCACTGTGGAGGAAAATTATGACTCGATAAATTGTACATCGAATATGGAATATCAAGAACTTGGGGTGATCTACAAAAACTTATAAAGAAATTGATCTGTTTTCGTTCGGAATTTTCTGAACTGTCTGAACAGCTGAACGATTATAAAATATCATAAAGAAGATTGTATCAATGGTGTGAAATCTTTAACTAAAAACATTAGGTAATATAATGTAAACCAACTTTTATTCTCGAGCGAGAAATTTTCTCGAGGTTCTCAAGAGCATCGTAATCACGAATATTTCTCGCAGAACCAGTCTTTAAAGTCTCTGTGTCTATAAACATAGGTCCAATCAGGTTTGATCGCGAAAATAATCGTGACGAAGTAATTTACCCTTGGTAAATGGCGAAAAAAAGTCGCTGTGGGTAAACGTTGGTTTACAGTTATTCTCAAGGAAAAAAGCAACAAAAACATGTTTATTCTTTCATAAACCCAACAGAAGTATAATATAAATTAACATAATATACAAGACCAATTTGCATTTTCATGTTAAATAGAGGCACCATTTGTCTGTTTGAACACATTTAATCATGTAGTAAAAAGGTATTTTAGATCTAAATTCCTTGGACAAATAGAGCTCCGCACCACGACTCTTGTAAAATATAAAGAATAACAACCTTATGATCTTTGAACATAACCTTCAGACTATTATTCTTTTTTACTGGCAATCCAATATAGACAACACAAGAAATGTATTGAGTCTACCGAAAGAGCGTATTTTTTTTCGTTTAATATGGGATTTTACATAACATCCTTATAAGTGAAGTTTTTTTCACTACAGAGTATTTGAAATTTCTAGGGCAAGTCTTTTCTTTATAGCATGTGTATCCCTTGTCATTTGACTTTCTTGGAAGAAAGAATCCTTCAGATCAGATCGTATAAATCGAAGTCCCGTTTCACACTAGGTGTTGGCTTGAAAACGACCCTTATTTGCTCTGTTGCCTTACATGCAAAGTATAGGACAAAATGTGCAGCTGAATGTAAATAGTTCATGTGTTTTCCCCAGTTTTTAACATTTATATTTTGTTTCTCTGCACTAAGATGCAAGCCTTGTTAAAAATAATAAAACACTTCCTGGAATATCTACTAGTAGATTGATAACCAAAAGTAAGCTTGAGGTGCCATTAAAAAAGAAGTCTTCGGTTATTTTTTTCCTTACATGAAATTCAATTTCTGAATACATTATTGTTGTTCACCCTTGTTCACATGTTTATAAGGGATGTTAAAGTGAGCAACACTCGCTGACCGGTCACTCGTCCCCGTCGTGTGTTCCTTGTCAAAAAGAACTGTCGTCAATTCTGTGTATAAATAATGGGCTAAAAGTAAGTATGAAAATCGTTATTCAGCATTGGACTTGATCATAATAAATTGTATTTGCTGGAAAGGTCGTTGTATCCATCATATAACTTACAAAAAATGTTTGACTTTAAACAAGACTGCTGATATTCTTATTTCATCAACTTTTTGTCGATAATTTACCTTGTTTAGAAATAATTCATACATTTCTTGCGTATCAAACAAATAGAGATATATAAACTCTGTATGCAGGTGATGAAGGTGTATTGTTGCATAAGTAAGGGAAGTTGATGATAAAAACGTTAAAATCGTGAAGTTCATTATATTATAAGGCTTTGTTGTTGGATTACCATTGACATCGTTTCCAAGTAAATATCCAAATGTGAAACATATGTATTTCAGAATATGTGGTATCTTTTATCTCAGGATCATTAGGGTATATCGAATCGACATAAGAATGTGAATTTTCATTGTTAATTAACAATCCGATGTCGAAATATCTAATTGTAGATTTGGAGGCCACAGCATGTGTTTTCATCTTTTCACGAATAAAATTCTGCACAAATTCTGTTTCATATGAATACAAAAATAGGCTAGCTAAATACTGGTGCAATTGGTATCCATGGAAATTTCAATAGATTGTTGGAAGACTTGTCCCCCCCCCCCAAAAAAAAAAAGATATTGACTATGGGAAACTCATGCATCTTTTTGAAGTCAACTTCAGAGTACTTGTGTGCACAATCAAAATGTTTTTTACAAAATAATTTTGCAAATGACCAATGACAAGGTAAGTAAATTTATGAGTTCCATTTTTATCACAAAAAAAGCTGTCAATGATATCCAAATGTCTGGGCTTCAATTTATCATGGGAAATGGTTGTGTATAAAGAAGAGAAGTCTTTTGTTTTAGTAAAAACATAAGTAACGATTTCTTAACGGTCATAACCAAGCCTAAATTGGGGGTAATGTTTAATCCGTCCCAAAATCGAATCTTGAAGTCCGAGTTTTTTTTTTTTTTTGATGACCGAACAGAACATGCAATGCGGAAAATCTTGGGAGTTACAACATTAAACTCTTAGCCCAACGGGTTAACATTGGAAATGCTTTGCCTTTCTTTTGCTTGATAAATTGCATCTATTTAGCCTTGTATGTAAATATCTTTTAGTAATATCACGTAAATTTGCTTTGTCTTTTATTCTGCACATCACTTGATTTCACAATGAACTTTAATTACAGGTTTTATATGATCAAGGTAAATTAATGTAAATATACGATCGTTTTTTTATTTTTCTCAGATTGAAAAATGATGTAAACACACTATCTATAAATACTCGTAATGAAACAGGGAAGATTTTTTATCAAGCGTTGTCGTTAAAGACGAATAATTTTATTTTTTTTCATTAATTACGCAACACAAAATAGGTTAGTTTGCACTGCATTTAAAAGTTGCCTGATTTGCTACCTTATTTCAAGAAGAAGAAAAAAAAACTTCCCTCTTTATTATATGTATTATTTCATGTTTTGAACTTGTGCAATGGAAAACATATAATAATGTTTTTATTAAAAACACATCTGTGCATGATTCGTTTACACCCTTTTGTGATTTAGGTTTTAAAAATTTCCCCTCACTACTTTTTTATGCAACGGGGCTTATTAGATTAGAATATGCATTTCGTATGCATTACCATAAGTGGAGTGACCAGCAGAGTTAATGTGAAGATTCTATGCTGAATTATGAACATTTATTTCTTTTTAAAATAACATTCCACTCGTAACCACTATGTTTCTGTGCCTTTGCCGGATTTTAAGCATCACGCAAATTTCTTTTGGATATGCATATGGTATGCTTAATTTTATCGAACCCTTTTTCTTTTATTTGTAACTAAATGCATTTTTTTCATGATCAAGTTCCAATACGAACAGAAAAAATATCACTCCCATGAAAATATTTGAATTCAAATCTTAATCTAATCAAAATGAAATATTATTTTTGATTGAATGGTAAAGTTGACTTATATTTTATTGTTCTATCTATATACAAATGGGATGATTTCAAACTTACTGGCATTGTAATTAATTGGTTTATCATCTGTTGAGACATCTCATCTTTGACCGATTCTATTGCTTTAAGTATTTTCGCCTAAAAATACTGCTTCTTTTTTTTTTTTTTATCTCTGCACGAAATCTGTACATATCAAAAAAAATAATGTTATAAGTTATCATTTTTAAGCTATCATCGTATTTATTTAAAACATTCCGATCTTAATGTCATATTCTTGATAGATATTTATTTCTTCTCTATGTAGAAAATCTGGCTTTAAATAAACCAACTTGGCAAGCATATCCATATATTATGAATAAAACATTCCAGTCTAGTAATGCTGTCGATGGAATGAAGTATGATCTTCGAGCCTGGAAAGGGCAGTGTACCATATCTAATCTTTCAAAGAGTTCAGCTACGTGGTGGGTAAACTTAAGATCAGTCTTTAGTATCCATCATATCCGGATATACTATAGGACTGATAATTTAGCATGGGGTAAGGAATATTTTATAACTCCTCTTTTATACCACATTTTGATATTTAAATTTTGATTAATTTACGAGCTCCATCCATGAAGCACATGTTTGATACTAATTATAATGTTTTAACATTACATATAATCCAGCAACATAACATCCTCGCGTTGAGATTTTCATAGTTCCTCATTTTTATTATCTCATTCTCGTTATTATAAAAAATGACATATGATGTATATTTGTTGCCTTATTAGTTAATTGTTCATCAGTTCTAGATTATTGATTTTCCAAATGCTTATTTTAGGTGCGACGAACGAATTGACCTCACGATTCATGGGGTTTTATATTTATATATCAAACACAACAAACAAACATGATGGTCATATCTGTTTCCACGACACCATCTACAACGTCTACACTATACCAGCTGTAATCAACATTACTTGTCTTATACATGGTCAGTACGTCATTTATTATAATGAGAGACCACAGAGCTCAAAGTACGCCAGTCAGTTTTCACAATATGCATTCAACGAACTATGTGAAGTTGAAGTATTTGGTATGTTCCTTTTCATATCAAATGGTATTAATAACCATTTTATGCATGAAAGAAAATTGTATAAATATCAAAATAAGCAGCAGAACTTTTTCAATATATCAAATTTTACATATAAATACGTGAAATATAATGATATACTGCCTATTTATACAAATATAGTTTTTATTTTTATGAGTCTTTAATAAAACTACATGTATCTGATGATCTGATAAAACAAATAATCATTTTTTTTTCTCAGATGACAAACTAACTGTTATCTTTTTAATTAAAGGATGTAAAGCAGGCTTCTATACATCTAACTGTTCCATACCCTGCCCCAGCAACTGTAGAAATCCTTACTGTCACATAGAGACAGGTGCTTGTGATGAATGTAATCCTGGTTTCCAAGGACAAGAATGCGACTCAAGAACTAGTAAGATATTAATAAAAGGACAATACACTGTATACAGGGTTATTTTCGTCCCGTGTTATTTTCGCCCTTTTCCACTTGCGAACTATTTTGCACCGTTTTAAATTCGCCCAATCAGAGGGCAAAAGGGGCGAAAATAAACGGGGGCAAAAATTTCCCTGTATACAGTAGTAGGTTTCACATGCAGTGTACATTCAGTCGGTTCAAACTTTTACAGTGTTCATGGCGTATGTAAGCTTTAAGCATAATGAATAAGAACACATTTTCTGATCTTAGATTGCCCTTTAGGGTTGTACGGCAGAACTTGTGAAATGAATTGTAGTGCAAATTGTCTGTACGCTGAAGGTTGCAACTCAACATCTGGAGTTTGTCAAGAGGGCTGCAGAGCGGGTTGGAAAGGATTAAAATGTGACTTACGTAATAAACATTCTTTTTTTTTATTTATATTTATTTTACTGATGGTATTTAAAATGTATCAAAACTCGTTTATGCATCAAGCAAGTCAATAAGCTGTTCAACATTACATTTAATTTTTTTGTTGAGAATAATATCTAGAAAAAAATGGGTAGGAAAACGGTGGAAATTCCCTTCTCATTTGATAAGCATGTGAAGACGGGGTGTATGGAATTGGATGTAAGCAGAAGTGCAGTGCCTTTTGTTCCGTGTCAGGTATTTGTGATCATGAAAATGGGGCCTGTAAAGAAGGTTGTAAAAGTGGCTGGGTGGGAATGGATTGTCTACAAGGTAGGTAAATATATCCATTAATACATCTGGCATCATTGAAGTTATAAGAAAAGTAAATAAACTCAACAATATAATCAACCTATTCGCTATATGTTATAGAAGAAATATTGAAAAGCATCCATGTAAGAAAATGAATGATTGATGATCTATTACGTTTGATGACGATGTCAAAAAAAATAGTTTATGTACTTCAATGGATTTTACACAATTATTCAACACCGTTCTTTCTGTCTAAGTTTCAATACTTACGGTATCTCTTTCTGGAAATTGCAAATGTTTCGCGAAACTTCAAAATAAGGCATTTTACTAGCGTGAATCCAAAGGGAAAATATTCCCTGATATGAGTATTTGTTATAATATAATCCTATCACATTTTCTTCATGATGCAACACACAGCTTACAACAAACTGTCACGTCTTGTATCTTTGAATATGAAATATGTACAGATAACGAGCAGTATATGTGCTCAAAATCCATTTAACATCACAAAATAGGAGCAGAGCAAAGACGGATCTCAAAACATCAGATGAAGAACCGGGGGTCATGGACGAGTAAGCATCCCCTGCCAACCGGTCACACCCGCCATGTTCTCATGTTCTCTTTGTAATGATCGTTTTCTTTGTTCCAACCGTTGAAATATGGCTGCAATATTGCAAACTCGGCGTAAAGAAGCAATCATCAATCATTCAATCTTTATGTCCCTAACTCATATGTTTATACATTTAAAAAGCATAATTTCAAAATAAAATTGATTTGAGGCATCCTTTGGCATGTAAGGAGATAACAATGAAGTTCCAATTTTAGATCACAAAGTTAATTTCTTTTTAAAAGGAAGACGGCTCAAATGAAAAAGGAATGTTTTCCGTTCTTTTACAGTTAAGGAAAATGTTGAAGGAAAACTTGCATTATACATTTTCGTCGGTGCTTTCTCCATAGCCGTTACTGTTATAGTGATTCTAATAATTTACATCATCCGTTTGAGGTATGTTATTAGGCAATGCAATGCATGAAAATATAAGCTCTGTATATTAAATGATAGCATCTCGTGCAATATTAAACATTTATTAACGAATACAAATCAACATATTTTTCACAATCTTTTAGAGGCAGAATTGGACAATTTCATACGATTGATAAATATAATACAAGCAAGACTTTGAGCATGGAAGCAGAAGGGGAAAACTATGACGCGATTATCACTACGTCGAAAAACGAGTATCAAGAACTTGGAGTGATCGGTCAGAACATCCCTAGATATTAGTGTCACATTTTTCTGTATTGAGAGCAGAAAGAACAGATGAGACATCTCCTTATCTTCATTGTCTCACACATCATCATAATGCGTATTACAATGCACAACTGTAAATTATTTAATACAATTATACAATTTGGAATTGTTGTTCTGAAAAAAAAAAGTTTTAACTTACTATTTATAATTATATTGTTACCACTTTTTATCTTTTGAAAAATCTCGTAAATTTTATTGTAATCATCTTAACTTGTATATTGTTAACACAAGAAATAAATTAAAAGCGTATTATTCATACATGATTTGTTAAGCTATAAAAAGATATGAAACCCCTCTTATTTCATTTTGTCTATTTTAAAGACATAGAAATCTAATTACAGTTTAATTGACCCAAAACAAGGTTATCATCATGGTTGGATATTATGACATTTTATTTTTACGCTATTTTTAACTTTCATACTCTAGAAGAGATTTTAGTCATTGCTCTAAATTATTTCATTTTCCTATCATATCAATTATAACAAAAAAAATGTTAAATCATGTGTTATAACTAAAATTAAATCTTACAATTCATAAAATAAAATTGCAGTTTTAGCAGTTTCTAGATGTTTTAAATGGTTACTTTATATTACAATTTTATAAAATATTCAAAATTTTCGTAAAATTTATTAATAAACAGGTATTTCACAATATTGTTAAACACTGAATAAAACAGAATGAAACATTTTAAGATAAAGTGACGAATATCGAGTGACTGGCTGAACTAAATGCAACCACACACGATATTTCCATTTAACTTTTTTACTAAAATATACTTTAGATAGAGATAAAACGGTTGCCATAAATGGGCACAACTACGTGCAGAACCTTGAAAATTCGGAATGATTGTTAAATTACTTAACAAACTTCATACTGGTCCTTTATCAGAATTTCATGCACCTTTTTACATAATTTTCGGAGAAACTGTTTTTATATCAGAACTGAAGAAATTGACCAATAACAGATCTCTAAAAGAAGTAATGTTCAAAAATTATTTTGTAACTTTTGAATACAAAAATATCCTTTTTTTCTTTTTTACTTTTTATTTATACACCTATACATCCATATGTATAAGATTCTGGCAGATTGTGCGTACATGTAATATGAATACAAAAATGGTTTCCTTATAACGGGGCGTAAAAAAAAAATCTTCTGAATATATCGACCTTTGTCCATGAAATATATTCAGATAACAAACCGTATTCAAGATCAGAAGTTCATAAAACAATTTAAAAAAATACAAAATAGGATCAAGACAAACACAAACCTTCAAAACAATAGAGGTGGAATCAGGTGCTATGGATGAGTGAGCATCCCCTGCAAACCGGTCACACCCGCCTTGTAATGATCGGAAAATAACGGAAAAATCCGTCGTCAATATATATTGATTTATTGATTTAGTAATGATATAAAAGATTATCTACCTAAATTTTTAAAAGTTCTTTACTTTTAGTCATGCTGATAATGACGGTTCATACGCAGAACCTAACAATGCCAGGGGGATATTTAGATCTTGTGCCAGTGCAGGATAGAAAATCTTACCAACTGCAATAAGTATCAACGGGTAGTTTACAATTTAAGTTTGCCCAAACAAAAAGGAAAACTAATGCATGAAGTGACATGAAACATGATAAAATAATGTAAACTAAATAATCTTGTGAAAAGAAAGGGTATGGACTAATTTGTAATTCAGCAGGCCTGAATATAAAGAATTAAAGTGTTTCCCTCAGTTTTCTAACAATTATATGTTGCTTCTATATATTCAGTTGCTTTATTAAAAACAAATGTACTCTCTAAATTATTAAGATGTATAACTGCATTGTAAAAGTGGGCTGTGGTATTATGGAATAAGCCATCGATATTTTTTTTTATTCTTTTATGAAGTTCAATCACTGATTACAGCATTATCATTCAATTTTGTTCGACAAGAACAAAACCTTTGCTGTTTTTGATGGACGAATGTTTTTGTACGTTTGAAGATAAGAATATAAAACGTATTTTTTCGCCTTCAATTAATTGAAATGATTTTATCACAAGAAAATAAAACATTGTTTTTTTTCTAATGTTTACTTAGTAAAGTAAAGTCATTATAAAGAAATCATACACCTAAACTTACATGTATATAAAGTTTAAAAATAATATCAGCAAAGAAAATAATAATAAAAAAAAAAAGTAGGAAACAAAGAGAACATCCCCTTTTCTGTAATATTTGCTTATACTAGAAATGTAATAAGACATAAAATTGTAATATCTAATCTTGGAAAAATATTGTCTCATTTAAGTAAACTTCCTAAAATTTTGTGTCGTAGATAGTAGATATATTTAATTTCGAAGTGTTCTGATTATTGTGATTTAATTCTATGGGTTGATCGTCCTTTTTGATCAAAGCCATACTGTCCGTTTGAGGAATGATGGAGTCGTCTACATAGTAAGAGGTGCCAGTCGATGTTCTAGAAAGTATCATCCTGCAGAAACATATACTTCTCTTAAAAATAATTATAACAAATAATATGTTATAAGAAAGAATGTAAAGAGAAATCTTCAGTCGAAAATGTTAAAAAAAAATATCCAAAAAGCTTTACCTTACCTTTTCTTTATTTTGTAGAGCGCATAAATAACAAATATAAGAAGAATGGCGCAAAGCGCGCTCAGAATTCAATAAAATTTTGTTTCGGATACTTTGTCACTGTCCTTGACTGTAATAAAAATATTCTTTATATTCAATTTGATTTTATTGTTAGGATATATATTTTATTTAATTTAAAAAACTTACCAAGTAGACATTCATTTCCCTGTACTCCAGCTTTACAGCCATAATTACAGGTACCAATCACGTGATGACAGTCACGTGATATTTTACAAAACAGACTGCATGCATTCTTACAGTCAGGACCATAAAACCCAAATTCACAAACTACAAGAAAACCGATTCAAACACTGATTGATCACATAAAGCAAAATATCTTTAAGACATACTTCTCGGAAATATCAAAAAAAAACTATACAACAGTATCGAGAGATTAAAAAAGTAGAATTTCAAAGTTATTTACGTTTATCAAATTTATTTCCATGATATCCAGCGTCACAACCATTTACACAGGAACCGTTGATATGATAACAAGATCCGCTGTCCGTACATTTTCCACAAGATTTGTTACAACCTTCTCCAAACCAATTCAAATCACACACTACGATATTATTTATAAAGTTATATGCATGTTAAAGTAATGACCATATCATCTTTTGTTCGAGATAATACTTTTTAGTTTACTTTCACTGGTATACAATTTCTAGATTTAGTCTAGAGGAAATCAAAGAAAATAGGTATGTTCAACAAATCGGGTCTGTAGGTTATCACATTCTTATCCAATTTTTACCCATTGACCTAAACACTTTCATGCAAACAATTGTAAGTAATAAAAAGATATTTACCCTCATGACAGAATTCTCCTTCCAACCAGGATGACATTTATTTCCACAGGAACCATTTATTCTGTTACATTCTTGACATGTATCATTACACTTGTATACACAATCTTCTCCAATGTATCCATCTTGGCACGCTTAAGAAGATATGTGTATTTATTTCAGATGCATTTTTTTTTGAAAACTTAAAGATATATTTACATGAAGGCGGCTGCAAACTCAGATAAACCAATATTCAGTTAGTCAGTTAATTGAGATTAAAAATAAATGAGAATACCATTTTTAAAATTAATTCTTAGAAAAAAAACATCAATTATATAATTTATAAATATATAAATGGTCGGTGGTTTTCATTACTTGTCTTGCAAAGTTGTCCTTTATATCCCCGAGAGCATCCATTCAAACACGTCCTATTAATTGGGCTACAATCCGCAGATTTCTTGCAGTATCCACAAGCCATAATACAATTCACGCCAAAGAATCCTTCATCACATTCTGAAATTAGGATAAATTTCATTTCATACACGCATACAAAAAAATAATAATCGCTTGACCTTTTCATTATTGATATTGCAAATTTATGGAAACACAAAGATTAAAAAAGATAAATTAGTTATTTTTGTTTTCTTAATATGACATTATCACCTTCCAAATTACATTTGGAAACATTCTTAAAAATGTTTAAATCCATTTTCAGGATGTTAAATTCAAACATTGTACACTTATTTGGTCCATTTTTTTTATATAATTACAATGCACGAGGGGTTGAATGGACAATAATGTTTATTTTCCAATAATCATTGCACAGAAGGGAAATAAGAAAACTGGCTAAATGGAATAGTTGTTCAAAAAGAGAAAATAAGGAATAGAGGTCGATTTCAAAATGGGATCCAACACTACAACTTTTTTTTGATAGAATGTTTCATTTTGTACGATGTCATCTCTATAAACTTATCATTTTAATTTATTAAACCCACTTGTGGATATTCATACATGTATTCCATCAACATACCGTTCAATTACCAGTAGCCTAGGCTTAAAAAAATATTATCGTACTGGGTGTCTGCTCTTGAGTATCGTATCTAGTTGGAAAGCGTAACCCCAATATGCAGCCGAAAGCGCGAAATTGCTACATAACTAAGGAACATTGAAGATTAAAATTTTGAAGCCACCATCCTTGCCATACAGTTTAGTTGAAAGTTGGTTCTTATTCCAATGCATCGGTTGTAAACATTCACTCTGAATGATATTGACTTAAATACATTCTGATTAAAATCAGATCCTTTGATCCGCTCACATAGATCGCTACACAAGGATCTGAAGAAACCCCATTCAGGGTCACCTCCTGGTGACCTTTGAATTATCCAATCAAATGTTCACTTTGGAGAAATGGAAAGTATCTCGGAATTCATTTACAGAGGGGAAAGGCCCGTTGATACACGAATGGAAAAATCGTGACCTAGTTCCTGTAGCCTGTCAAGAGAAGGACCACAGTCTTTTCTGTACAGTAATATAATAAGTACTTGCTTTTGTCTTGTTTTTTTTAGCTCTTTGTTTTGTACGAAACGATAAGATCTCCTCCGCAGCTATTTTCACTTCCATATTCGTTTTCCCGAATGTCGCTTTTGTACGATCTCTCTGATTGGTCAAAATTTTCATGAATATTTTTATTAGGAAGGTCACCAGGAGATGACCCTGAATGGGGTTTCTTCAGATCCTTGTGTAGCGATCTATGTGAGCGGATCAAAGGATCTGATTTTAATGAGACTGACTTAAATAGAGGTTGAAATATTTATAAAAAAAAAGTAAGTTGTGAAAATACTATTTTGTTTTACCCTCATGACAGTACAGTCCTTCCCAACCAGGGAGGCATCCATTCTCACAAATGTCATTGGTTCTGTTACAAGCTTTACAAGTACTGTTACATTTGAACACACAATTTTCTCTAAAGTATCCGTCTACGCAGGCTAAACAATAAAAAAAAATATTGAAAAAGTAATTGCAAAGCTTTCTATCCGGATTTTAATACACTGTCCCATTTATATAATAAGAAAATTATGAACAAGTGTACGTGTTTAAAATACTTTTATTGCAAAATTGTCCTTCATATCCAGCAAAACATCGATTCAAACACGTCCCGTTTATTGGGTGACAATCATATAAATGTTTGCAGTATCCGCAATTCAGTTCACACTGCTCCCCCAAAAATCCATAATCACATACTAAAAATGAAATAGAATTTTCATCTATTTGTGTGTGTGGAATAGTATAACACATTCAAATGTATGATGTTGAAGTAATTTTCTCTTTCAGACGAGCTAATTAGTATTATTTTACGTAAGAATTGAAAGATCAGAAATTTGACTTCTTTATCAAGGGAAAATATACTCACCGTCAATAGAAACGCAACACCCTAATTTAAGGGGTGAAAATTATATACGGGATATAACTATGTACCAAAAAAGTTAGGACATCTTTTACTTTGCCAAATCAGTTATTTAACGTTTGAATGATTTTCATTCCATTACCGGAAGTTGATTTTTAGCTCCCTGAACAGAAATCAAAAATTAGCATTTTTAATAAAATTATTGACATATTTTGGGTTTTAAGGTTTTGTACCTGTTAATTATAAGTCTTGTACTAAAAGTCCGGAAAAAATATCCTTTTTTTATTCCTGATGTGATGCCTGTATTTCCTCAAAGTAACTGAAAGCTCGCATTTTCAATGCTAATGTTGGAAATTTTCAAAATAAAGAAAAAGGAAAGAGATACAGACGCAAATTAACACAACATAACGACTTTTCGGGCTCAAGTGTTTCAAAAGCATGAATGACAGTTACTTGACCGAAAGTCCAAGGGTTACTACACTACACCATGTTAGAGAAAATTCGACCTCAGTATCTGAAAAACAGGCATTTAAAAAAGGACAAGAATACTTATTTCGCTCAGATTGAGACATTGATAAACTTAATGCATGGTAGAATTTGGGCTGCTTATGTTGTACATGGCGGACTAGCACGTTTTAATTGAATGGTCGGAAGGGGGGTGTTTTAGAGTTATGTGTTACTTTATAAGGTTTAAAGATAAGATTAAGAATGAATACATAAATGTAAAATGTAAATTTACAAAACAATGATACTTCATTTAAACTTTAAATGTTATGTAATGTTACAGGTTATGTAGTGTATGTTTTCATCTGTAGCTCTTCCTTTTCTTTTTTTTTTTTTGAAAATTTTAACATTAGCAATGAAAATGCGTGCTTTCAGTTACTTTGAGGAATTACAGGCATCACATCCGGAAGAGAAAGAAGGATACTTTTCCGGACTTTTAGTACAAGACTTATGATTAAAAAGTACAAAACCTTGAGAACCCAAAATATTGACAATAATTTTATTAAAAATGCTAATTTTTGATTTCTGTTAAAGGGGCCTAAAAATCAACTTCCGGTAATGGAATGAAAATCGTTCAACCGTTAAATAACTGATTTGGCAAAGTAAAAGATGTCCTAACTTTTTTGGCACATAGTTATATCCCGTATTTAATTTTCACCCCTAAAATTAGGGTGTTGCCTTTCTATTGACGGTGAGTACAGATAATTAAAGCCAAATTAAACTTGAATAACCTAAATTGTATTTAAGACCGTAAGAATGAAAATATAACCATTTTTGATATATTTACAAGCAAGTTTATGATAATATAACTTGACGTTGAGTTTGTAGAGTTATAAATAAGCTATGACAATGGTCCAGCTTGAAATGCCTATTTTCTCTTAGAGATGGTTGTTACGGTTTTCTGAAAATTATATTTGTGTTACCGTGTTTGGTTTTTCTGTTCCTCAACTATTGCATGCATCGACTATATGCTTTTTTAGAAATTATGAAACAATATTATATAAAATATGGTGAAATGATAACTTAGAGAACTCTAAATAATGGTGAAATCATTTACTAGCTTACATTTGTGGCAGTAATCCCCTTTCCATCCTGGATGACATCCAGTTTCACATTTACCATTTGTTCTGTTACACCCATAACATGTACTCTTACAGGTCTCCAAACAATTCCGTCCAAATGTTCCTTCTCCGCAGGCTGTCAAGTACAGCAGTAAAAACAAAATGTTTTCAACAAAATTATATGTGGAAAATAATTGGATTGTAAAAAAATTTTTTAAAGATATTTGTTTTATATTAAAGATTGTTTACTTTTATTGCAAAAATTCCCTTCATATCCTTCGTCACAACCGTTCATACACGTCCCTTTGACAGGACTACATTGTTCTGATTTTACACAGTGTCCACAAGGCATACTGCAGTTATTACCGAAGAATCCGCCTCCACATACTAAAAAATAACATCAAATGCAAAAAAAAAAGATGTATCTGAAAGTGTTTATTTTGTATTATGGTTACTTTATTAATATTTTTTCTAGAGTTAGTATTCTTCGATTTCGATATCTTTTATTCGGTAATCACAGGATAAAACAACTGAATGGTAAATGCATGATCTGGAAGAATGACCGAATGACGCTCTTCCACTCAGTCACATTTCATCAATGTTTCACTCACCTCTTAGAAAAAATGAATCCATTCACTGATTATCTAATTTTTTTTTTGAACTGGAAATGTTTTTTAAAAAGTTGATTGCAAAAAGGCAAATTTTAAAATCGATTTAATCCCTTTATCTTGATGACAATAATCGCCTTTCCAACCAGGCAGACATCCATTCTCACACACACCGTTTGTTCTGTTACATCCTCTGCATGTGTTGTTACACTCGTGGACACAGTTTTCTCCAAAATATCCTTCCATGCAAGCTTCAGAATAAAAAGTAGAAAAGAAATTTGAAATACACATTTCTTTAAAGTTGCAAATGCTATTCTTTTTTTTCAGAATCTTACAATATTTATTTAAATTCATTGTATTTTTTTTTTATTTATTTTTTTTTTTTTTTACTTTCATTACACAACTGCCCTTCAAATCCCTCGGAACAACCATTTAAACACGTTCCATTTATGGGAAAACATTCCACAGAATCTTTATAATATTCACAAGTCATAAAACATAAATTGCAATTAATTTCGAGCGATATTCAATTTTAGCGATCTCGGCACCCTCGCTAATAATGCCAAAATTAAATTCTCGCTAAAAAAATCTACTTGTACGGTATATGTGACTGGCACAAGTGATAAATAAGGGTAAATTGAAGATATTCTGTGTGTATCAACAGGAGATACATGCCCTCTAAATGGATTTTGCTGGGGGGTTGTGTGAAGTTTATCCATTTTTTTTTGTATAAATTGCGATAAAGAGTGGAAAATACCCCCTTCTTGTAGGTAACTTGAATTCCTCGTAAAATATTATCTCCATGAGTGAAAATTAAACCTGTCCAAGCACTTTATATGTATCAAAGAGCAATATAAATTGATTCATATAACAAAATTTGCACAATAATTTCTTTCTGCACTTGTGCCTAAGAAATTTTTGTGTAACATTTAAAAATATCATAAATTTCCATCACATGCTCAACACATGACATCACAAAAATGCTCTCTTACAATACCTGATTAAACAATTATCTCAAGTTCATTGCAATTTCAAACAAGTGTAACATATTGAAATTAAAATCTAGCTCAAAATAAAATTTATATTTTTTAGGCATTTTAAGCCTTCGGACAGCCTTAGCATAACTGCGCAACCCTGCATATAAACACTTCACCACATGCCAGTGAATGGCTTCAAAGAATAAAAGTCGTTATTTATCATAATTGGCCCTGTAAAAATATAAAAAAATAAAGTGGAGCAATTTTTTAATTTATGGTCAACAACATATGTTTAGGACACTAACTTTAAGATTTGGGTATTAGTTTGGCAAAAAGCGCGCGCGATTAGTAACAGCGAAAGTCGAAACCGGGAAAGAATTCCGGAAATCTGCATTTTTATGCATATTCAATGTATATAAACGCAATTTTTAATGTGTCCGCATTCGAGTATGTATTCCAAACTTTTTCAATTGCAAAATTATATCATAATCATTAATTTAAACGTTTAATTTTGACCTTACAAAGATGCGGACATGACGAAATTTAATAAATTGTGTTTTGCAGATAAAGATAAATCATGACAATAATGACGTTTTTCTTCATCATGCTTATTTCACAAATATCTAAAGACCCTTTCCTTAAAGATGAATTGTATAAGTACTTTTTTCACAACAAAAAAAAAATTACAACGACTAATTGTTCATAAAAGTAAATGTGCATGTGTTTTTAAAAAAGTTACCTAGGTAATTTATTGTTTTATCTGTACATGACAAGTCGTAAATTACATTGAAATATCAAAATGAAACCTGTGATGAATCCAAAATAATCACTCTTATCATGAAGTATTTATGTATTTATTTTTTTATAATCAACATTTAATAGCACGAAAAATAATATATTGCCAATGAATACTTCTTTTTACAATTACGTCGAATTAACTACCGGTAAAACGGGTGTTGATGACGTCGAAAACATAAACAAAATGACGTCATAATATACCTGAGATAGGCAACTTATTACTTGTACCTGTGCTGGATTGATGGGTGTAAACAGAAGAGAAAAGATTTGTTTGAACAGTCTTTTCGGTCGATTAGTCGAGACTAGAGAGAGAGAGAGAGCATGTATGTGCCGAGAAATGATTCTTGATCTGTGATTTTATTCCTGGATAAGAAATAAATGTATATGAACATGTTGTAAGACTGGTATTTCTGCATTCTACTCTGTTACTTATAAATGTATATAATAGTCAAGAAGGAATACTATAGTATCTAATATACATATAATAATTTTTGGAAATACTCACACACACGCAGTACATGTATACAATTGAGCATCGTAAGGCCAGATATATGAATGATTATAAATAGTATTACCTAATCAAATGAATTCTCCTTTTTTTTTAGAGATTTTATATTATAAGATTATATAATGCCTTTTTCTGGTCTATTGACTGATCAGGTATTAAATATTTGTTTTATTACCTAATTTTATTTTTAGTTTTTTTTAAAGTGTTCGAAATTGCATATTACAGAAGGTTCCGGACCATTATGAATTCATCGTAAAATTAATTCCTATGGTGCATCTGAATTATCAATTAAAGATTGATTGTATAGACTATTGTTTAAAATTCCCCTCGAGAATTTTTCAATGATATATTGAAACGCCTACACTTGCCGATAGAGAACGGAAAATTCTGTCATTTACTCGGCACCTAGGGCCATTGAGCAATGAGTGACCATTTTCGTGCCAGCAGTGCACCTACTGCGACACAGGACCTCGAATAAGAGGTCTCATCCGCACGACCGGTCTCCACGTCCCACAGTGTATTCATTAAAGTGACTCTCATTAAATAAAACATCCTACCATTGAAATCATACAATTTTTAAAAACGATGTCCAAAGATCAAATATGATGAGAGATCAAATATGAGAGAGACATGGCAGTAGGTGCACTGCTGGCACGAAAAAGATCCCTCACTGCTCGATGGCTTTATTGCCTTTCTTGCTTACAAATCTTACAAACGAACTTCTATCGATTCAAGAAATACAAGAAATGTGGAAACAGATATGAAAGAATTAAATTTTGTAAACAATAAATCCCTTGTTTTGATGTTTACTCTCTTAGTTGAGGTCTTATTTATCTTAAGTAAAATCGTTTGTTCGCACGGTCACTGAAAGTTGTGCAGTTTGCTTTTACGTAACATATAGGTCCAAGTGGATACGAATCATTACAATAAAAAAAACAATATCTTTCACCTATTGTTACATAACAATGCATTTTATTTCTAATTTAGAACCCATAACAGACAATTTTGAGATTATTAAATTGATTCGTTATGAATGTTCTATTTAAAATTACTTTTCATTCAGGGAAGTACATGTAGCATCGTTTTTGAAAGGGGGAGGGGCGGTCAGAGAAAAAAATCAACTCACCTCAATAATCTTGAAAAAAAAAAAGAAAAAGGAAAAAAAAAGAAAATGTTCAAACTCGAAAAAATACTTTTCTTTCCTTTTTTTTTTGGGGGGGGGGGGGGGGGGGGGTCTTGATTCTTCGGTATAATTTTTTTTTACTCACATATACATGTACTACTGTCTGTGAAAGGTTGGAGACCCCCTCCCTTAACTTACTCTGATGTTACGTGCCTGCAATTGACTACTTTTGAGTGATACAGATATAGTTCAATGATTTATAAGTTTAATATATAATGTGGGGAGGGGATGCTTTGAGATGGAAGGGGTTCGTAGAAATCGCAAATGCTAAATCGCCGATTAATGAAAGAATTATATCATTAAGTGGAATAGCATGTACAATATAATTGCAATAATTTATGGCATAAAGCGTTTCATAACAATGCTAAATGATATTTGTAGCGGTTGCAACAGGGCTTCCGGGGACAGGGGGAGGGAGTGTGTTGAATTCTCCCAGGAATATTTTGACGACCGAATGGCTGTTAGTTTACTTCACCTCACCAGCGGCAGGAGGGTAGTGGTTATGTGTGCGCATGACACGAGTGTGGTTTGGTTTTCGGCATTTTTGCGCCAGGAGGATGTTCCTCGGACATGGGGTACAGAACTGGGAAATCTCTGTATGTGGTTGTAAACGACAGCGACGTCACTAAAGAATAATGATTCCGGAGATTCTTTATTGTTCAAAAATAATTATAATAAAATTTTAATACACACTACATGCACATGGTAACTTCTCGGGTCTAACTTAACGACAATGAGAACATAGATATTCCAATATTGATATCACTGACAAAATTCATACAATATATATTATATGTACAAATCATTATATTCTATCGCCTTCATTTGCTTGATGCGTTTATTACAACTTCTTATATCTTGGATATATTTGAAAGATATGAATCTAACTACAAGTATTTACATGTAATGAAAGAGTTACACAACCATGTGCCCGAGCCTTCTGGGGGGACTTGAAAAGATGTGTTTGTTTTTGCTTTACATGTATTGTTTATGGTATTGTTTACGAATCTCTGTGTACCTTTACTTCGTGAAATTGTAATCTTATTAAAACGATTATAATTTGTTAAAGATAATTTTTTTTTCGCGTTAATAAATACTGCATATGTATATAAAGAATTTTTTTTTGTGTTTATAATTGTTATACAGAATTTTAATTCATAAATATATTAATATAAAGCAAGAAAATAAACTCTTCACAGATATTCTCTCCAAAACGTTTTATGCAATTAACGATTTAGCAAAGACTTATGCATCTTAAAAAAAAAAAAAATCAAAATCGCTATTTTAAAAGTACAGGGATTACATAAAACATTGGGTTATTTAGTTACATTGTAACACACACAAGAAAAGAAATATAGAAAAAAAATTTCATATATATGAAAATTAAACATATTTTGAAACATGTAAATTTTGAAAGTTGCCGATAAAAAATTGATAACGTTATGTTTACATCGCGACGTCATGCCGTCAAGCACGACTTTTGCGGAATATCATGTCATTTTTAAGAGGCTCCTGACGCTAAAACTAAAACTAAAAGTGGTATTGGAGAAATTTAAACTGTTTAGGAAAATATGCATTGTAGACACCTTTTGAAAAATCCCTTATCAGATTCAATCACAGGGCCGATTATAAACCATAACGACTCTTCTTCTTTAGACCTAAACTCGGCACTCAGAGCCGTTGAGCAATGAGAGTTCTTTCTCGTACCAACGCCTACCGCGAAGCAGTACCTACGTTTTAAAGGTCATATCAGCAAGACCGACATATTCACCTCTGGTGCCGTGCGCCTGGCGAAGGAACAATCACTGCATATGTTTACGCCTTAGGTTTGACGCGGCGCCCCGAACGAGAATCGAACCCGGGCCTTACCATTGATCCTCTTGCTTTCTTTCTTTCTTTTTTTTTTTCTCTCTATCATTTATACACTCCTCTTTCAGCTTTCTTGAGAAAAAACAAAATGATAAAAAAAATCAGAAAATTCACAAAGGCTGGTTTTTACCATTTTGCATTTCTCAATTAAATTCACGTGGTTTGGTATATTTTGCTAAAGTCTATATTACACTTAAGGCACCAAGTTAGCACATTCTGAAAATTGTTTTCATCTGTAATCTTTTACTGAGTGTGATTTGTCAATAATTGAAATTTTATTGAAGTATTACATGTTTCTAAGTCTATTTCATTTCCCAAGTCCCAGGAAAGAAAATCTAAGAAATATCCACATTTATTACCCTGTCTCCTCCAAAGAAAAAAAAATAATGTTTGTATCATAAGTACTTCAGATTAGAATTTGATCACACCATGAGACGTTTTGGGCAGGTTGAAGCTATATATTTGCCTTGGAATTAATTGGTGACATAATTTGCTGATGGTAATCGGCAGCACTATGTAGGTGAGGGTCGTTGATCACAGGCCTCTTTATTCTATGATTTGCCCTTCTTCATTTTATTACAATGTTTGAGAACATGACCTATATATAGTTTCATTGCAATAAAAAAAAGAGATATCGCGCTTACTACCAATCTAAAAAAAGAATAGGACTGGGTATATATATATATATTAATTTAATATTGATAACGACGAACATTTCAGATTAATCATTCTTGAATATTTTTTTGAAAAAGAAGTGTCATTAATGTTGATTACCTTATTTTTAGCTTTACACTTAGCATGGTCATTTGTGCATTAAAATCCTGTTACTTGTCCTGTTCAAAGGTTTTTTTTTTGAGAGCGGTTCATAATGAAACTTTTGTTCTTGCATGCTTCATGTGAAGACTTGTCTCAATGCATATTTTTTTGTAGGTTTTAAATGTATATTTCAAATCATATCATCATATTTAAAAAAAAAACAAAAAAAAAACGGTTGTTTATTTATGCACATATGCCAAATTTACATGCTGAGATGTCTTTCCTATGGAAGTATCACTAATATTTTCAAAATATAAATGAAAATATACGTTAGACATTAAGGCTTTTTTTTATTTTCGTGGACGTTTTTAAATAGGTTTTGACAAGAACAGAACCACGTAAACTGTTTTGTTTCTTTGTAAGGAAAACTGTTTTCTGCACGTATAAAAATATGAAGATCAAACTCTCTCTTTGCCTTCCATTAAGTGAAAGCATTTTATTACAAGAAAATAAAACATTCATTCTTTAAATGTTTACTTTGTTATGTATTGTACTTGAAATCTATTCATATGACCCCTTGATTAATATAGAGTAATTATAAAGTAATATCAACAAAGGAGACTGAAAAAAGAAAAGAGGAAACAAAACTGCAGATGTTAAATTTTCCTGTGGTATTGGTAGACAATTCATAAGGCATAATAATCCAACATTTAATCTTTGGCAAATCTTTTCTCATTTTAATAAGCTCCCTAAAGCTTAGTGTCGTATTTAGTAGATGACTCTAATTTCAATGTCGTGTTTTGATTCTTGTGATGTAATTCTATTGCATGATCGTCGTTTTTGATTAAAGACACATCGTCCTTTTGAGGAATGGAAGAGTCGTCGACAACATAAGATGTGTCAGTCAATGATCTAGAAAGTATCATCCTAGAGAAAAACAAAACAAAAAAAAATTCTCTGTGAAAATTAATTATTTTAAACTAATTCATTCTATAATAGAAATGTTTAATTTAAAACTAAACACATCGGAAACGCAATTTCTTACCTTTTCATTATTTTGTAGAACACATTAATACAAAGAACAAGAAGAGTGGCGCAAAATGCGCACAGAATGCCATAAAACTTTATTTTGAAGACGTTTTCGCCGTCTTGGACTGAAAGAAAAATACCATTTGTAATCAAGTTTGTTGTTATGGTCGGGGTAAATATAATTTTCTTTAATAAACTTACCAAGTAGACATTCGTCTCCCTGTACACCAGCTTTACAGCCCGAATTACAGGCACCAGTCACGTGATGACAGTCACGTGATACTTTACAAAACGCACTACATGCACTTCTACAGTCAGGTCCAAAAAATCCAAAATCACAAACTACAAGAAAATCAATTCAAACACTGTATGATGTAAAGAAAAAATATTTTTAAGACATACTGCTCTGAAATATATCATTAATCTGTACAAAAGCCTAGCGAGTCTTAAAAACATAATTTCAAAATTATATACTTTTGTCGCATTTATTTCCAAGATATCCAGAATCACAACCATTTACACAGGAACCAGTGACGTGATGACAAGTCTCGCTGTCCATACATTTACCACAGTTCTTACTACAGCCAGCCCCATACCAAGTCAATTCACAAACTATGGTATTATTCAAAAGTTACGTAAATTTTCAAACAGTGAATTTGCCATTTTTACGACATTATACTTTTTTTTTCAATTTAGCTACTACACAATTTGTAGAATGGGTCGAGGAAAAATCAAAGAAAAAAATATGATAAACAAATCGGGTCTGTTAGTTAACACATTATTACCCTTGTAAGTAAGCATTTGTAAGTTAAAAAAAATACCCTTATGACAGAATTCTCCTTTCCAGCCAGGATGACATTTATTTCCACAGGAGCCGTTTATTCTGTTACATTCTTGGCATGTATCATTACACTTGTATACACAACTTTCTCCAAAGTATCCATCTGGGCATGCTTAAGAATATACACGTATGCATATTTATTTCATTTGCATGTAAAAAAAAAAGTAAATAAATGTATACATGTAGGTCTACAAACACAAATACACTGATATTCCGCAAATGACCTGATAACTTCTAAGTTCATCAACTGATATCTTTTAAATTCATATTTTTTGTTGTCATATACAGTGGACCTTCAGATATCCGGACGCCCTATATCTGGATGCTTCAGTTTCCGGACAACTTTTCAGAGAAATAGAATTTTTTTAAAGTCATTTTGTCTTGTTTACCTGGTAACTGGTAATCCGAACGCTTCACATATGCGGGCAAATTGACAAGGATCCAAGGTGTCCGGATAAATGAAGATCCACTGTTTAGGAATATCATTTAACATAGAACTGATATAACTGAGACTGTAATTTTTTATAATTTATTATCGTATAATAAACTTGAAATATAGGCTATATAAAATAGTTTTGATCAGTGGTGTATTTTTTTTACCTGTGTTGCAGAATTGTCCTTTGTATCCCCGACGGCATCCATTCAAACACGTCCCATTTATTGGGCTACATTGCCCAGACCTCTTGCAATATCCACAAGCCATGTTGCAACTCTCGCCAAAGAATCCTTCGTCACATTCTGAAATTACGAAAACGTTCGTTTCATACCCTCACACAGAAAATATCCTTTATAGCTTGACTTTATTTCATTTTGAATATTGCAAAGAGAAATTCATCGAAAAAAAAATTAAAATAGATAAATTAGTTTACTTTGATTCTTAATATAAGATTACACTGTAACACCTTGCAAATTACATTGAAAAACATTCAGACAAATCTTCGAATCCAATTTCACGCATTTACATTCAAACACTGGGACGAATGCAAATAAAAAGGATATTTCCCCATTGTTCATTGCAAAAAAAGCGAAATTAGGAAAACTGGCAGAATGGTTTAGTTGTACAAAAAAATTAATAAATAGATAAATAAATAATAAAATAAGGAGCAGTGATCGATTTAAAAAAAAAAAAATTCCGGAAAAATATTATCCGTATCAGAAAATGTTTTATTTCTGATGATGTCATCATGATCAACATATCACTTACATTTTTTCAAAACCCAAATGTTGAAATTCATATTCTATCAACGTAGCTTTCAATTTCCAGCAGCCTAGCTTTTAAAAAAAAACTTTTCGTACTGGGGGCCTGCTCGTGAGTATCGTATCTAGTTGGGAGGCTTAATCATCATAAGCAAATGAAAGCGCGAAATTGCTACGTAACTAAGGAACTTTGAAAATGAAAATAATGAAGCCATCTTCTTTGTCATACAGTTGCAAGTTGGCCTCAATTCTTTTAAATCAGTTATAACCATTCGCTTTAAAAGGTGTTGACCTAAATGAAGGTTGAAATCTTTAGAAAAAATATTAAATGCGAAAAATATAATTCGTTTTACCCTCATGACAGTACAATCCTTTCCAACCAGGGAAGCATCCATTCTCACAAGTCCCATCTGTTCTGTTACATCCTTTACAGCTACTGTTACATTTGAACACACAATTGTCTCCAAAGTATCCTTCCACGCAGGCTTCATAAAGAGAAAAACGGAAACATCAATTAATCTTGTAATTGCAAAAATTTCTTTTGAGATTTTGATACATTTGTTATTTAATAAGATTTTTATGTACATGTGTACGTATTAAAAATGGAAGTTAAATACTTTTATTGCAAAATTGTCCTTCATGTCCAACGGAACATCCATTCAAACACGTCCCGTTTATTGGGTGACAATCATTTAAATGTTTGCAGTATCCACAATTCAGTTCACACTGCTCCCCGAAAAATCCCTGATCACATACTAAAAGGTAAATAGAATTTACATCAATTAGCGTGTATGAGGAATAGTAAAACACACTAAAATGTATGATATTGAACTAATTTTCTCTTTCAGGAGGACTGATCTGTATTATTGTATAAGGTTTGGAAGACATTCATCTGCTTTACTAAGGGAAAACATAGATTTCTAAAACCAAATTTAACTTAAAATATATTAAATTGTATTTTCAAAGACATTAAAGTATGAAAGTGTAACATATTTTGACATATTTACTAGTAAGTTCAAATAAATGATATGACTCAACGTGGAGGTTGTAGATGTGTACATAGGCTTTGACAATGTTCCAGTTTGAAATGCTTTTTTGTCTAAGGGATGGTTGTAACAGTTTGTTAAAATTTTATTTGGGTTACCGTGTATGCTTCTTCTTGTTTAATCATCACTAAATGCATGCATTAGAAAAAAATGAAAGTACATTACAGATGATGACATAAAACATGGTGGAATATATCAACTCATATAGCATACCCTCGTGGCAGTAGTCCCCTTTCCATCCTGGATGACAACCAGCTTCACATTTACCATTTGTTCTGTTACATCCATAGCACGTAGAATTACACTTTTCCAGACAATTCCGTCCAAATGTTCCTTTTCCGCAGGCTGTCAAATACAGCATTAAAAACAAGATGTCTCTCTCAAAAATAGATGTGAGCATAATCGGAAGCAAAAACAAATAATTATTTTCAATGGTATATATCATATATTGCTGACTGTTTACTTGTGTTGCAAAAATTCCCTTCATAGCCTTCATCGCAACCGTTCATACACGTCCCTTTGATATGATTACATTGTTCTGATTTTACACAGTGTCCACAAGGAATACTGCAATTTTTTCCAAAGAAACCGCCTCTGCATACTATAAAGAAAAGCAACAACAGCAAAAAATACAAGAAAAGATACATTTCAAACGATTTGTTTTGTATTATGGTTACTTTGAGCATTGCTTTTTCTCTATGGCTATATATGATACGATATTGATCCTTTTTTCAGCAATCGGGGGTTAAAACAACTAAGTGGTCACTCTCTAACAAAAATAAACTATAATTAACTGTAGTTAACTATAGTTAACTATAGTTTACCATAGTTAACTATAGTAAATCAAAGTGTCAAAGTTTTTGCCAAAGTTTTTCAAAGCGTCAAAGTTTTCGCCAAATTTTTTTAAAGTGTCTAATTTTTGGATAAAGTTTTTCAATGTATCAAAGATTTAAATAAAGTTTTTCAAAGTGTCAACGTTTTCGCCAAAGTTTTTCAAAGTTTCAAAGTTTTTTGCCAAAGTTTTTCAATGGGTCAAAGTTTTCGCCAAAGTTTTTCAAGGTGTCAAAGTTTTCGATAAAGTTTCGATAAAGTTTTTCAAAGTTTTCGATAAAGTTTTTCAAAGTGTCCAAGTTGCAACGGGTCAAAGTTTTCGCCAAAGTTTTTCAAGGTATCGAAGTTTTCGATAAAGTTTTTCAAAGTATCAAAGTTTTCGATAAAGTTTTTCAAAGTGTCAAAGTTTTCGATAAAGTTTTTCAAAGTGTCCAAGTTTTCGATAAAATTTTCAAAGTGTCCAACTATTCAATAAAATTTTTCAAAGTGTTAAAGATTCTGATAAAGTTTTTCATAGTGTCTTAGTTTTCCATTAAGTTTTTCAAAGTGTCAAAGATTTCGCCAAGGTTTTTCAAAGAGTCAAAGTTTTTCAAAGTGTCAAAGTTTTTGAAAAATTTTTCAAAGTGTCAAAGTTTTCACCAAAGTTTTTCAATGTATCAAAGTTTTCGATAAAGTTTTTCAAAGTATCAAAGTTTTCGATAAAGTTTTTCAAAGTGTCAAAGTTATCACTAAAGTAAATCAAACTTTTCAAAGTGTAAAAGTTATAACTATAGTTAATTATAGCTAACTATAGTAAACTATAGTTAACTATATAGTGTTTTGTTAGGGCTGTAGGGTCTTGGAAGGTGACTAAATGACAGACCTCTTTTATTCGGTTATATTTCAACAATCTTTCAGTCAACTCTCAGATAAATAAATGACAGAAATCCTGATAATGAAATGTTTATTGAAAATATCAAAATATTCGAAAAGCTAATTTCGACGAATGCACAAAAAAGGGTATTTCCCCATTGTTCAGTGCAAAAAAGGGAAAATAGGAAAACTGGCAGAACGGTTTAATTGTACAAAATAATAATAATAATAAAAGAAAATAAGAAGCAGTGATCGATTTCAAAAAAAGGCTCCAACACTGTAAAATTCCGCAAAAATATTTTCCGTAGCACACAAAGTTTTATTTCTGATAATGTCATCATGATCAACATATCACTTACATTCTTTTAAAAACCAAATTTTGAAATTCATATTCTATCAACGTAGCTTTCAATTGCCAGAAGCCTAGATTTAAAAAAAAAGCTTATTGTACTGGGGGTTTGCTCTTCAGTATCGTATCTAGTTGGGAGGCTTAATCGTCATATGCAAATGAAAGCGCAGAATTGCTACATAACTAAAGAACTTTGAAGACGAAAATTAAGAAGCCATCTTCTTTGCCATACAGTTGCAAGTTGGCCTCAATTCTTTTAAATCAGTTATAAACACTCGCTGTGAAAAATGTTGACCTAAATCAAGGTTTAAACCTTTTTAAAAAAATGTTACTTGTGAAAAAATATAATTTGTTTTACCTTCATGACAGTACAATCCTTCCCAACCAGGGAGGCATCCATTCTCACAAACGCCATTGGTTCTGTTACATGCTTTACAAGTTCTGTTACATTTGAGCACACAATTTTCTCCAAAGTATCCTTCTACGCAGGCTTCATAAAAAGAAAAACGGAAATATCAATCTATCTTGTAATTGCAAAGCTTTCTTTCGAGATTTTGATACATTTTTTTAAATAAAATATGGTTTGTATGTACATGTGTACGTATTTAAAAAGTAATTTGAATACTTTTATTGCAAAATTGTCCTTCATATCCAGCAGAACATCCATTCAAACACGTCCCGTTTATTGGGTGACAATCATTCAAATGTTTGCAGTATCCACAATCCAGTGCACACCGCTCCCCAAAAAATCCAAGATCACATACTAAACGTTCAATAGAATTTACATGTATTAGTGCATGAGGAATATTATTATTCGTTGAAATTTATGATGTGTAAGTATTTTTTTTCTTTCAGACGGGTTGACTTGTATTATTTTAGGTAATGTTTGAAAGTTCAGATGTTCATCTTCTTTATAAAGAAAACAAAAGATATTCAAAGCCGAATTTAACTTTAAATATCTTACATTGTATTTTGAGACTTCAAGATGAACAATTTTGACATATTTACAAGCCAGCTCATAATAATTTAAATCAGCGTTTATTTTGTAGAGTTATGAATAAGATATGACAATGGTCCTACTTGAAATGCCTATTTTTCTAAAAGATGATTGTAACGGTTTGTTGAAAATTATATTTGTGTTACCGTGTTTGATTTTCTTGCTCATCACCTTTTGCATGCATCGAATAGATGCATATTGGAAATTATGAAACTATATTACAAATATTGACATAATATATGGTGAAATATTAAGAAGCGAAGTTTCAATTAAGGTGACATCGTTAACTAGCTAACCTTCGTGGCAGTAATCCCCTTTCCATCCTGGATGACATCCATTCTCACATATACCGTTTGTTCTGTTACATCCATAACATGTACTATTACAGGTCTCCAAACAATTCCTTCCAAATGTTCCTTCTCCGCAGGCTGTCAAGTACAGCAGTAAAAACAAAATGTTGTTGTCAAAAATATATGTGGAAAATAATTTGCATTTGTTAAAAAAATATTTTTATCAAAGATATATATTTTATATTCATAATTCTTTACTTTTATTGCAAGAAATCCCTTCATAGCCTTCATCACAACCCTGCATACACGTCCCTTTGATATGATTACATTGTTCTGATTTTACACAGTGTCCACAAGGAATACTGCAGTTATTACCGAAGAATCCACCTCCACATACTAAAACATAACATCAAAAGTAATAAAAAAAGAAAGATGCATCAGAGAGTGTTTATTTTGTATTATGGTTACTTTATTAATATTTTTTCTAGAGTTAGTATGCTTCGATTTCGATATCTTTTATTCTGTAATCACAGGATAAAACAACTGAATGGTAAATGCATGATCTGGAAGAATGACCAAATGAAGCTCTTCCACTCAGTCATATTTCATCAATGTTTTACTCACCTCTTAGAAAAAATTAATCCATTCACTGATTATCTAAAGTTTTTTTATGAAATGGAAATGTTTTTTAAAAAGTTAATTGCAAAAAGGCAAATTTTAAAATGGATCTAATTCCATTACCTTGATGACAATAATTGCCTTCCCAACCAGGAAAACATCCATTCTCACACACACCGTTTGTTCTGTTACATCCTCTGCATGTATTGTTACACTCGTGGACACAGTTTTCTCCAAAATATCCTTCCATGCAATCTTTAGAATAAAAAGTAGAATAGAAATATGAAATTCACATTTCTTTACAGTTGCAAATGTTACTCATTTTTTTTTTCAGAATCGAACAATGTCTACTTGAATTATTTCATATATGCATACATATCAAAACAATGTATTTTTATTTTTTTTACTTTCATTACACAACTGCCCTTCAAATCCCTCGGAACAACCATTTAAACACGTTCCATTTATAGGAAGACATTCCCAAGGATTTTTGCAATGTCCACAGGTCATATTACACTGTTCTCCAAAGAAACCATCATCACATTCTGAAATGTATCCATTTCAAATTGTATATAACGGGTAGAGGATTATGTAAAACGTAGAAATACCAAAATGTGACAGATCTTTTAAAAATATAAACAATACAAAAAAATACATGTATGAAAAAGGTTTAAACAAGAATATTTGAAATTTCAGATGTTTGATAAACTGCATAGGGAGGGTATACATTCCTTGTTGACTGGTAAAACCCCGGTGAACCCTAGAATCGATCAAGGATACTATGCGTAACCATTCTAGTATAAATCAAGGACCTATCATTCAAGTTAAAACAAGGTAACCACTACAAGACCATACGATAGGTAACATTTTTTTTACCCCTAAGTTCATTATAAAGACTATAAAATATACACGTTCACGTGTATGAAATACTTATTTAAGCGAAAAAGTTGTACGAATGTTTTTTTGTTTTTTTTTATTTATTGGTTTCTTCAAGTTTGGCAATGTTATCCACTTTTCCACATTCAGATGTTGATGGCAAGTGACTTTCTTGGTAAAAAAGAAAAATAAGGTTTGCCTTTAAAGCCCCCACCTTCATTGCAGAATTCTCCTTGCCAACCAGGATGACACCCATTATCACAGATACCATTTGTTCTGTTGCATCCTCTACATGTACTATTGCAGGTTTCCAGACAGTTTCGTCCAAATGTTCCGTTCATGCATGCTGTAAAGAATATCATTTTTTTAACCAAATAATTGTTTCTCATATGTTTTTTGCAATAAAGTCAAAAAGACATAAAAAATAAAAATATTTATAGTTTTTTTTTTAATATGAACAAGACACCTGCGAAACATATCTAACCTTCATTGCACAATATTCCTCCAAAACCCTCATCACAACCATTTTCACACGTTCCATTATTTGGCTGACATTGTTCTGATTTCCAACAATTTCCACATACCCCACTGCAATTATCTCCATAAAATCCATTGTTACATTCTAAGATTAAAACAATATATTATCAGTCAAGCAATGGTATTTATATTGAATTTTGCTAGATTTTTTTCAGAGGAGGAAGGTGACTTAGCATACAATGTGAAATAATGTTGATTTTTTAAAAATTCTTATATCTTTTTTTTCGTTGAAAGCAGCCGAGGATCTTAAACTCTAACATTGTGATAGGTTAATACATGTATTTACCTTCATGGCAGTACTTTCCTTTCCATCCAGGATGACAACCATTTTCACAAATCCCGTTTGTTCTATTACATCCTTTGCATGTATTGTTACACGTACTGACGCAGTTTCCTCCAAAATATCCTTGACTGCATGCTTGAAGGAAAATTTTTGATAATAACATTTTTATGACATGAGATTGTAATATCATGTTTTGAAATACAATTCTTCCGTTATTTTGTTTTTGATATACCTTTGTTGCAAAGCTCTCCTTCATATCCCGCCGAACATCCATTCAAACACGTCCCGTTTATTGGGTAACAATCCTCTGAATCCTTGCAATATCCACAGGTCATATTACAATTCTCTCCATAGAACCCATCATCACAGTCTGTAGAGATAAAAAAAATAACATATTGACCATTAAGCAAACAAAAGTCCATGACTCAACGTTTCAAAGAGACGCCTTGGTCAAATCTGTCTTGCCGTTCAGAAAACTTAAAAACAACATCCACAACTTCACATAAAAAACAATTCTCCAATGTTTTTGAACAAACCTAGTTCCCAGAGCTCGTGATATATTCAAACTTTAATTCACATACTTCTATTACGCTTTATCAACCTACAAAGATTATCTTTTCTGTCCACAGATGTGATTTTTTCCTTTACACAGCGCAATGTATAGATACTTATTCGTTTTTCTACCTAAAGTACTAGTAATATACTGAATTCCTATTTTATCTCATCCTACTTCTAAAGTCGTTATTTGAACAGATTTGAAAATGCTTCGTCAACTTCAGAATTATTGCTTATTGATAAGATCACCCTGACTTTGTTTCCTTCATGATCGAACATTTTAAATCTAATACTATGATCTCATTCATTCTTTGATGATACAACTAGTATTTTCCCAACGTGACAATGCCTGAATATATATATCGTAATTACCACTAGCTAGATAAGTTCCAATCATTTTTTTTTTCAAAGTACCAATCTTTTATTTTGTACGTTTTTTTTTTACTTAATGTACTTTGATTTAAAGGTTTGCTACATGGACCATAATAAATATCATTTATGTTAGTAAAAAGTTTTATGCTGACAAATGATTTAATATTGCAAGTTGTGTTCGTATTTGTGTTATGTTCAACATATATATTGTTTATATAGTAAATTAGTTGTAATTGTAAGCCATTACAAGGGCCGCTGCAATTTTTCTCCACTGGGAGCCTTAGGTTCATTGCTGCAATCTGATTGATCTAGAGTTAGCGTCGATTTATACGATTTGTAAGAGAGTAGACATGTTTTGTAGAGGAGGCTGAGAGATAAAATTTAAACCATCCCACCTCTTCCATTTTTTATGAAAAAGAATTTTGAGCTATGAGCCTTTGGACCTCACCTTCTGTCACTTACAATGATTTTTCTAGTCATGTATGTTTGCTTACAAGTATTTTGGAATGTTGTAATTTTGATGTATCATACCACTTATTGTGATTCAATGGTTATAGTTTCAAAACTTCTAATATACAGGTTTGTAAGTCTAGATTTGTACAGTTTGCTAATGAATGTAAATTTTAATTGGTCTCAACCGGTGTTTGCTTGTCACATTTTGGTTTTGTATATACTAGCTTGAAATATATCAAGCCTTAATAAACAACAATTTCAACACATACATGTGTTAAGTAATAGTATTCTAGGTTACTGTTCATTTAATTTTTGCTGGAATGAGGAAGCATAAAGTTACATTATGATACATATTCCATTAATCATTTCTTTCTGAAGAAAATTACTTCTGTCTATGCGTAAAGATGTTTACATACTTAAAGTTTTTTTTTTCTTTCATTTTTGCATTTACCTTTGCATTTATAATTGTTTCCACTACAATCATCCCATTTTCTCTTAAAGGTAAAGACTAATTAAAAATCAAGGCAGTCTAGATTTTATTATTATTTTTAACGCATACCTTCGTGACAGAAATCTCCTTTCCATCCTGGATGACACCCATTGTCACATTTACCGTTTGTGCTGTTACATGTAGAACCAAAACATGTTTTGTTACAGATCTCTATACAGTTTCTCCCAAATCTTCCAATTTCACATGCTAAAGTGTAATATAATGAAACAAACATTGATCATGTAAATGTCCGAACATTTTGACAGTAGCAATTTTATAAAGATTTTTGAAAAGTCACAGACATCTTACTTTCATTGCAGAAAATCCCTTTATGTCCTTCATCACATCCGTGTAAACATGTTCCGTTAATCGGATGGCATTGCTCTGGGGTAACACAGTTTCCACAGAGTATGCTGCAGTTAATTCCGTAAAATCCATCATCGCATTCTAGAACAAATTTAATGCATTAATTCAGTCTCTTTTTTAAAAAAAAAAAAATGTGTAAATCTTTTTTTTTTTTTTTTTTTTTTTTTTGTAAAACTGACAAAGGAAAAAGTTGTTGAAAAAATCGACAAATAAAATCCTCAGTGAGAACTAGCAATATTATAACGTATATTTCTAGTCTTTTCTTACGTTATTTTTGCCTGGCTATGGCAAAACTATTTTTAAAAAGTAAGTAAATGAATAGAGAAAGAGAAAATAAAATAACTGATCATTATATTTCTTATTTGAGTTTGAGCTTTTGAGAATATTTTTTTCTTTAATTTTACCTTGATGACAGAATTCTCCTTTCCAACCGGTATGGCATCCATTGTCACAAATACCATTCGTTCTGTTGCACCCGTAACATGTATCGTAACAGGTGTTGAGACAATTTTCTCCGAAGAATCCATAAGAACAAGCTAAACGTTTATAGAGAAAAATATAACATTTCTATTAGAAGTGTACTTTATGTTATCCAGAAGATATTTATTACTGAAAGCTCCCTTGTCCGTAAATTTCTATGAAACCAGTGGTTTACTGAATATACAAGTTTAACCGAGAATTGTCTCTTTCATTTTCTCTAATATTTACTTTCATTGCATAATTGCCCCTCATATCCTTCTGAACAACCATTCAAACACGACCCATTAATTGGATGACATTCGTCTGGTTTTCTGCAATGTCCACAAGATTTATTACATTGTTCTCCAAAAAGTCCATCATCGCATTCTACAATAGATATTCAAATATTTTACATTTTAAATAAAAGAAGTAATTTGCATCTATTCTTTAGTGTGTGAATGTAAATTATTTTCATAATACAGATTTTTGAAGCTTAGACTTTTAATTTCGCATTTTTTTTCTGTTAGTGTATTGTGTAGATTTTAAATTTACATGTTACATTTATACTGCATGTGCTCCCGTATAATTAAGAAAAAAGCAATCAAATTAAAATACAAAACACAATCAAATTAAATTGTAAATGAAAATCTTGTAAAAAGTGACTTTCAGATATGATTTTTTCCATGTTAAATCCAACAGAATATTTTGCAAAACATGCCTAGATAATGACAAGCATTCAAAATGGATGGTAGATAATAACAAGCATTCAAAATGGATGGCAGATGTTTGGATAAAATGTCAAGAATGATCAAGTAAAATCGTATGACGAATTTTTGTTTAATATTTCTATATATTCAATGTGCCAAGGTATAAAAGTTCTTAGTGTATTTATGGTAAAAACAAACAGGTGAAATAGATCGCTTGCCTTCATGACAGAAATCTCCCTTCCACCCTGGCTGACACCCAGTTTCACATTTACCATTAGTTCTGTTACAGCCATAACACGTACTATTACACATCTCAAAACAGTTTCGTCCAAATGTTCCGTTTTTACAGGCTGAAAGGCGTATAAGGCTTCAAAAATTAATCATATTATCGTATCTTGAGGTAATCCTTAGAAAAATAAAATGTTTGAAGAAAATGTGTAGGAATCTTTCATTGTGCCTTACTTTCATTGCAAAAATTCCCTTCGTATCCTTCATCACAACCATTTATACAAGTCCCGTTTCCATGGTGACATTGTTCTGAGTTAACACAATGTCCACAAGTCATACTGCAATTGTTTCCGTAGGATCCGTCTTCACATTCTTAAAAGATATTTCAGAAATAATTATAATTAAAAAAATATTTTTTTTTAGCTCTTTTGATTAGAGTAATGTCAAAACTGCTATAATTTTAGCATTTTGGAAATTTCAACAGAAAACAACATGCCGCACCACCACCTTTCTTTGTACTTTAAGTGTTCTATGAAAATGTGCATCTGCTTATAATCAGGCCGACCTTTAAGATTTCAGGAGATGAAAATAAAATAGTGAATGTAAATTATCTATGTATATTTTATAAAAGGACATCTTGATGTCAGGATTGATCATGTGTGATCGTGATACTGACTACTAAGTAGTATTATATCCTTGCAATACATTATTTAAGTAAATTTTGATGAGACGTTGTTGTTAGCAAGCAAGATGCCTCTAGCTGTTTTCATCAAAAAACTTATATTAAACAACATTGCTTACTTTCATGACAATAATCTCCCTTCCACCCTGGCTGACACCCAGATTCACATTTTCCAGTCGTTCTGTTACATCCATAACACGTACTATTACAAATATCTATACAGTTTCGACCGAATGTTCCGTTTTCACAGGCTGAAAGGCATATAAGACTCAAAAAAATATCATATTAATCATTTCAACGTATTTTGAGGAAATTCTTGGAAAAAATATTTTTTTAAAACATCATTTAGAATTCCAATGTGCCTTACTTTCATTGCAAAAAGTCCCTTCATATCCTTCATTACAACCATTTATACAAGTCCCGTTTATATGGTGACATTGTTCTGAGTTAACACAATATCCACAAATAAGGCTACAATTATTTCCGTAGGATCCCGCATCACATTCTTAAAAGATAATTAAAAAATAATTATAATAAAAAAATATATATTATTTTTTACGCTGTTGATCAGAGTATTGTCAAAGCTGCTATAATTTTAGCATTTTGGAAATTTCAACAGAAAACAAAATGTTGCGTCACCTAATATTGTTTTATTATAAGTGTTCTATGGAAATGCGTTTCTGATTATCATCAGGCAGTTGTTCTTGGCAAGTAAGATGCCCCCTAACCGTTTTCATTAAAAATAACTTATAGGTGACAATATTGCTATTTACTTTCATGACAAAAATCTCCCTTCCACCCTTGGTGACACCCAGATTCACATGTTCCAGTTGTTCTGTTACATCCATAACACGTACTATTACAAATCTCTAGACAGTTTCGTCCAAATCTTCCGTTTTGACAGGCTGAAAGAGAATAAGGCTCGAAAAATTAATCATATTAATTATTATAATGTATTTTTAGAGGAAATCCTTGGAATTAAAGAAATCTTTGAAAAAAATCATTTGGAATTCTAATGTGCCTTACTTTCATGGTGCCTTACTTTCATTGCAAAAATTCCCTTCATATCCTTCATCACAACCATTTATACAAGTCCCGTTTACATGGTGACATTGTTCTGAGTTAACACAATGTCCACAAGTCATGCTGCAATTATTTCCGTAGGATCCCCCATCACACTCTAAAATGACGTTTATAGAATATAATTATATTAAAAACAAACATAATCTTTCGCCCTGTTGAAACAAGTAATGTAAAAACTGTTGTAATAATTTAAGATCTAGAATTTCTCATTAGAAATATCAATATTGCGTCACATTATTATGCACCTTAAGTGTAAAATGAAAATTATGTTCATGATTATCATCAGGTTGAAATTTTATGTTTCGAAAGATTAAATGAAAATCGTGAATGTAAGTTACATTTAAATATGAATATTTTAAAATTGGGCATATAGATGCCCGTAAATGATTGTGTTACTAACTTTTGTGATATCTTTTTTTTGAATATCATCTAATAATTTTTTTATTAGACCTTGCGCTTCTTGCAAGTTGAAAACTCCTAATTTTATGTATCTAAAACATAAGTGTGAAAATATTGCTTACCTTGATGACAATAATCTCCCTTCCACCCAGGATAACATCCAGTTTCACAACTTCCGGTTATTGTGTTACAGCCATGACACGTACTATTACAAATTTCAAGACAGTTTTGTCCAAATGTTCCGTTTTTACAGGCTGTAAGGAATGCAGTGTATGAAAACTTACAAAAAAATATGTATTTTATAAAAATATCTTAGAATGAGAGCGTCGCAAGAATACACATATAGAATTCTAAGATGCCTTACTTTCATTGCAAAAATTTCCTTCATATCCTTCATCACAACCGTTCATACACGTCCCGTTTACATGGCTACATTGTTCTGAGTTTATACAATGTCCACAAATCAGGCTGCAACTATTTCCATGGTAACCGCCGTCACATTCTAAAAGGTTTTTTTGATTAATTTTATTATTAATGGTAATTTTTGGCTTTATGCAATTGCGAATAAAGGAATGTTAAAACTCTTTTGATAAAATAAGTAAAGGGGAATTTTTATGAGAAAAAACTGTTCATTCGTTTACATTTTTTTCAAAAATTCCGTTCATATATTGAAATGCTACATCACAAATTATAAGGAAAAAAAGGATATCTGTTTTTCTCTTGTAGAACAAAAAGATATGGATATTGTAATGACATTTATTATTAATAAATTGTTGAAATACTTGTTACACAAAGTTTAAGAGAATCTTAAAACTGAAAATTAAATTAAGACTGGGTATACAATGTAACATAAAGGCAAGTAAAAATAAATTAAAAGTATTTTTATTATTGCAATAGTGTGCAGGTTACGCAAGTAAGTCAAGACAATGTGTAGAGTTTTCTATGCAATAAACTAATTTAAACTCAGAAGGTCTGAAATTATTTTGCAAAAAAAAAAAATAAAAACTTGCTTTTTTTTAACATGATGTCACAATGAGACTGACATGCCGTTAGTAAAGTGCAGATATAGGCGCCATATTACGCAAATATTATACGTCATAATTTTGTACTATCAAAAGTGTAACATGTAAATATCGACAAATATCAACAAATAAGGTTCGGCGCAACGGAATACTCAACTTTGGTATTCAGAATCAAGGTTTTATTAGACACAGAGTATTTCAAGTATTTATGATATTGCTGCACAAATGTCGACAGTGCAATTGTTTAGTTACTATTTCAATAGTTTTAAGTTGAAACAGGGTAAAAAGGTGCAAGTTTCCTGAAATTTTCATCAATTGAGAAAGCGGCTAAGATCCATGTATGTGAAGCAATTTCATTAATTTTTATAACATTCTTTTTAATATTTTACTTTATTTCTTAAAAATTATACATTGATTGTTTGACGTCCCTTTGGATAGTTTTTCACTGATATGGAGACGCGACTCAAAAGTAAAAATTAATTGGAGTAAGCACGCCAATCAAAATGATTTTTAAGATGCACTAAACATGATATTTGTTGGATGACATTTGGTTCAATTTCATAGGATTCGCACCGTGTGATGCATTGATTAGCTTCTTATTATAAGACCATTTCTCAAATTAATGGATAAGGATAAAATAACCATAAATAAATCTGATATATAAAAGATGACATCTTTTGCTAGCTTACATGTACCTTCATGGCAGTAATCGCCTTTCCATCCTGGATGACAACCATTTTCACATTTACCATTTGTTCTGTTGCAACCATAGCATGTACCATTGCAGATTTCTAGACAATTTCTTCCAAACGTTCCGTTCCCACATGCTACAAGGTAATCGAAATAAATATAAAGATAATCGTTTAAAGATTTGGAAATGGAGAACCAAAAATATCTAGAATGCTGAAATTAGAAATTTTCTTACTTTCATTGCATAATATCCCTCGGTATCCTGGGTCACAACCACTCATGCATGTCCCGTTTATTGGTTGACACTGTTCTGAGTTGATACAGTGTCCACAAAGCATACTGCATTTATTTCCATAAAATCCGCCGTCGCATTCTAAAAATTGATATTGACAATCAGTACGATCTTTAACTTTTTTTAACATTTATAAACAACAAAATTTAATGGTGTTTTAATTACACCATTAGATTTGTAATTTTTAATCACCCTAGTGTTTTTTTTCAGAATATTGCAGGACAAAACAAGAAAAAAGTAGAATGTCGTCGCAAGGTTTTTCAATCCTTAAAATCTCAAGCATTTTGGTTGGGAAGCAAGGAAGGATCAAAACAAACTCTACGTGATGACTTAAAAATTAATTGGAGTGCTGATACCTTTAAGCTATTAGAATAATTTTTACAAAAAAATATGGTTATTAATTATCGATCCAAAATAAATTCTATCAAATAATTGCTTGCATCATGGGCGAAAATAGATTTGACCCCAATAGGAAAGATTACAGTCATTAAAGGGCTTGTTATTCAAAATTTGAACACCTATTCTCAGCCCTCCCAAATCCATCAAAGGAATTACTTAATGAGATCAATAAAAAAATTATTTAAATTTATTTTGGCATATAATGTAGAAAAAGTTAAATGAAATACATTGATAGGAAAAATTGATGAAGGTGGACTAAACATGATCCATTTATCCTCCTTCATTTCATATATAAAACTTTTTTTTTTGTTCTTTCTGTAAAACGGGTTTCCTCTTAGGAAAAAAGTACTTGTATTACTCAAGAATTCAATGCACTTTACTTAAATTTACAAACTCAATTAACATTAAGTATTATAGGAAAACTAAAAAAAAAGATATTGTGAAAGCAATTTTCATTTCAGAACTATAATGTCAAATACTAAATGGGCAATTTTTGATTTGAATTTTCATACATAAAAAATATCCAGTTATCCAGAACAGCTGGTATTCATGGAAAGGTGCACAGAGTGCAATGTTTGTGTGTGCACATTGAAAATAAATATATACACCGACATCAATTTTTAACATATATAGTATTACCAAAAAATAGGAAAGTTAAAAAAAGAAATTGTGAAAGCAATTTTCATTTAAGAACTAAAATGTCAAATACTAAATGGGCAATGTTTGATTTGAATTTTCATACATAAAAAATCCAGTTATCACTTTACATGTAACTATGAACAGCTGGTATTCATGGAAATGTGCAAAGAGTGCGTGTGGTGTGTGAAGGTGTGTTTTTGTGTGTATTTTTGTTCTTTTGTATGTATGAACATTTTTGAAGATAAAGCATTATATAAAAAAGGCTTTTTCCATCCTTTCTCTTTTACTACTGTATTTGATAAAAATTATATCAAAAGTCTATGCTTATTTTTCAGAGATACGTCTAATGCCTTATTCTTCAATATGACGTAGTGATTACAAAGATTTCTTATAAGAAATAATCACAAAGAAGATATATATTCTAAGGGCTTTTACTTTCATGACAGTAGGTTCCTTTCCACCCCGTATGACATCCGTTTTCACAAACACCATTTGTCCTGTTACACCCGTAACACGTACTGTTACATTTGTGGAAACAATTTTCTCCAAAGAATCCGTCTGCACATGCTTTAGGATAAATAAAACAAATGTTTAACTCTTTACAACTTACTAAACTGTGATGCAACATACACGTATAGTTAACGTGACAGGAATATGAGTTATCTTTTCCCCGCAAGCACTTTTTAGCGCCGGACAAGTTTCTCTTAGGTATATCGTAAACAGATATGAAGTAATATTTCAATAAGAATATAACTTTCCTAAATCTGTGAGATTTTAAAAAGTATAGAATAGAAGGGAAACGACATTGAATAGAAGATGAAATGTTCTTTTGAAACAACGTGAAAAATACGTGATTGCGGCGAAACGGTAAATGCGTGATTTTGCCTTAGAAATAGGAAATGGTAATTGCGTTAAAACGCGTGGTTACGGGGTTAAAGGCTGGACATGTTCAATCTACATCAATTATTTGGTATGTTTTCTTTTACTTGCATATGCAAGTAAAATGTTTTGTTGAGGTAGTTTTTTAAAATAATTTGAACATACTGATATTGCAAAATTGTCCTTTATATCCTGTATAACATCCATGCATACAAGTTCCATTCACAGGATGACATTCACTCAATTGTTTGCAATGTCCACAGGTCCTACTACATTGCTCCCCAAAAAAACCATCATCACATTCTTTCATGAAATAAAAAGAGATACAGAGATTTTAAAAATATAGAAAAAAATGTGTTTAAAAAGTATTGATGCCCCCGTATGGCAACATAGGGAAGATTTAACTTTCTAAAATGCAAATATTATAGATAAGTACCCAAAGTAGGGTATTCTAACTGGAAATACAATTGTGAAATAGGAAAGCTCTATCACCATCTGTTCCAAGTTAAGTTTTTTTTCATAGAATTCTTCAAAATCAAGGTCACAAAGAAAGGGTTTTTGGCATCAAATAAAAGGTCTTGCCACAAAAAAAAAAAAAAACAATAGATAGGTGAAGAATGGAAGCCCTTGTCCTAACTGTTTAAAAGTTATGGCCAGGTTAAAAAGATTTTAAAAGAATGTTAAACTCCAGGATCAAGGTCAGAGGTTCAAGGTTGTTGGTGTTCAATGAAAGGTCTTGTAAGAAGAATTATATATGTTAAGTTTGAAAGCCCTAGTCCTCACCGTTAAAAAGTCCATAAATCTCTAAGGTCAAGGTCAAAATGTCAAGGTTATTGGTATCCAATGAAAGGTTTTGCCACAAACAATACATATGTGAGTATGACAGCCCTAGCTCTAACCGTGTTCAAAGTTATTGCAAAGGTTAAAGTTTTTCATAAGTCCGGAAATCTCCAAGGTCAAGATCTAAAGGTCAAAATTATCGGTATTCAATAAACGTTATTGCAGCAAGAAATGAATATGTGAGGTACGGAAGTTATGGCCCTAACCGTTCAAAAGATATTGTTAAAAATTTTAAAAAATAGGTCAAATCCCAAGGTCAAGTTTAAAAAGTAAAATGTCTTTATATCAAAAGAAAGGTGTTGTCACAAGAATTAAATAGAGTATGAAAGCAATAGCTCTTACGCTTTTAAAGATATGTTCAAGGGTTTTTTTTAAAGTAAGTTAAACTCCAAGGTCAAGGTGAAAGGGTCAATGTTCTTGATATTCAATGAATGGTCTTTTACAGGGTTTATGTGAAGCATGGAAGCTCTAGCCTTTACCGTTGAAACGTCATTGCCAAGGTTAAAGTTTTTTCAGAAGTACGGAAATCTTTAAGGTAAAGGTCAAAAGATCAAGGTTGGTGGTATCCAATAAAAGGTTTTGCCACAACAAATACATATGTAAAGTATAAATGTCCTGGTATCAACTGTTCAAAAGATATGGCCAAAGCAAAGGTTTGAAATTTTTGTGTAAAAGTGGGTAAAGCATAAAGGTCAAGGCCAAATTGTCAAACTTTGTGGTATCCCAAAGAAAGGGTATGTCACAAGAAATACACATTAAAATATGAAAATCATAGCTCCACTGAATAAAAAATTATGGGCAAGGTTAAAGATTTTGCGGACAAACAGCCAAACAGAGAGACAGACAAACAGCTAGACAGACACACAAACAAACAGATTGACAGATGGACGGAGACGACAAAAGCTATATACCCCCGAAACCTGGTTTTCGTGGTTTAAAAACAAAGTACCAGATGGATAGCTAAAGCCTTGACGTCTTTCGTTATAGTAGATGACGTATTGTCCGTGTACAGGACAGCTTATGTTAGCAACAGCTGGTATTGTCGCTATAGTGTAGGTTGTATCGTGAAAACATAGATGGCCATCAAGTCTGTTTGTTGTATTTGAAATATACACGTAAAATCCTAGAAATCTAGTAGTGTAACCATTTCCAGAATCTGAAATTTTATTTTATTATTTATTTTCATATGCATATTGTTCGTTTTTTCTGAATACATAAAGTTAAAAACTATTTTTAATTCATACGTATGTATGCATTTATTCATTTTTCCTTTATATTTAATTTATTATCCTGTTGGAAATAAGTATAACATCATGAAATACTTTGCTTTTTAAGCTATTTCAAAGAAATTAAAGATCTTCTAACAAGTGGCTTTTTAAAGACAATTTACTGCCATTCTTTTCTTGACATTTTATTGATCATTCAGCTGATGTTCAATGATAATTTCATTTACATTGTTTATTAGTCTTGCCAAAAAAAAATATTTGATGATGTTTATATATCGAAAGTTATCGTTATACATGGTGGAATTTTAATGACAGTCTTATACGTGGAAAATAATCTTATCTCAAGTAGTTAACTGTCATTTGCTTTTGCAATCGCAATTCTAAAAAAAAAATTTCAATTAAAAAGACAATAAATTCTTCAATCAATTAAAAAGACAATAAATTCTTCAATGGTATCAGATGAGAGATAATTTTAGTTATCCAAACATCAAAGTTTGTCTCAATCTATAGATTAGATAACTACGTACTACAATGCATCGTGACGTCATTTTATTTGGCTTTTATCATAGAGAATGTATGCATTGTGATGTCACGTTTTATTTACACCCGGCTCAAGTCGGGTGCACGGATATTTACCCCCGACTTTGTAACCAATCAAAGATCGTGTTACAAGCTAGATAGGAAATAATTACTAATATGTGAATCAAATAAATCAATTGAAAATGTGAAGCGCGTACGTACCCCAAAGCACGTTATCAGTTCTGTAATAAATGATTATGGATTCTATGCCACGGATTCCCTCAAGGTTTACCCACCACGTGGCACTGCTTTCACCGTTAGTAGAAACACTGCATTGTTTTCCTATATAAGAGAGATCTGATTTCAAACCATCAACAGCTCTTGTAGAATCACTGTATGCAGGGTCATAGGTTGAGCTTTGCCATGTAGGTTTTTGATATGCCAAATTTTCTGAAAAAAAAAACAACATGTAAATATATCTACATATCGTACATTTCACTAAGTAAAATGTACAATTAATATATTTGAAAAAGGAAACGTTAAAAGGAAAATGTACTTGGTATAATATAACTTAAGGAATGGTAGAATGTGTGTAGATGTATACATCGCCCACTTTAGTTTTTTTTTAACTTTCGCCTATCGGCATATAAGACTTTGTCTTGCTTTAATAAATAAAAAGAAAATTATTTATATTTATATTGATACGCATACTTGAAAGAACCAAAATGTGACATTAAAAATGTTCGCTCTTAAAAACTCGAGAATTTAGTCGACACAGTGATGACGAAAACATGAGTGAACATTAAATGACGCATCTGTGTTTTAATATTACAAGTGATATTTTTCAAATAAGAGACTTGAAATCAGGTAAAATTCAATATATGAGACGTTTGGATTCCGTACAAATCAAGACAAAAGTAAACAAATAAATGAAATGAAAGAAGGAGATTTTGCATATGTAATGATGAAGAAACAATGCTGCTACACAGATAAAAATATATGACAGACTATAGTGTTATTTAAACAATTGTAAACAAACAAAATTTCAGATGTTAATAAAATATTATATGCATTGATGAAATTTATATTTTTACATATGATTATGAATGGATCTTGATTTTTTTTTTTGGCACTGTACAGGATCTTTTTGAACAGTTTTCTAATTGATTTCAATGTTCTGAGATACGAAAAGACGCAAATACAACAATTACAATTATAGAAAAGATTTTATATCTTCCCTGTTTTTTTTAATCTAAATGCAATGCTATGTATTTGAATAAGGAAGTATTTCAAAATATCTAGCTAATATGTTATTTATAAAAAAAAAAATCACGAGGAAATTTTCTTTTTCACAATGGCTGAATATGAAAGAGAAAATTGCTTTTTAATCTTTATAAGAAAAAATACATCGTGATCCTAAATGTAAATCTTGTTGGTAAGAGTTCAAGTTTGAAGTCACTTATTTCTTTCAAAATGAAAATGTGTTTCATTTCTTTCAAAGAATTACACTCTATTTTCTGTTTCAATATTTAAATAATAATGCATAACATAAAGCATACATAGACGCATTTACTTAATGTAATAAGTATATTCACAGAAACATTGAAGAAAAAAAGCAAAAAAGAAAAAAAATACTTTTGCATTTTTTTTAGTAATCTCTCTGTGATTACTTATATAAATAACTCGTTTTGATTTAAACACCTTGTATATTACCTTCATATTTTGATACATTATTTCATGCATTCCCGTTTTTAAACAACTGCTTACGTTAATGGTATATGAAAGTCTTGATTGTGAAGTTATAAAACAAAGTCAGATATGATGTTGTGAACAAAATTATGATAATGATGATCTGTTTTAATGTTGATTCAACATTTGAGTATTCAAAATGTAAAATGTACATGTACTAGTTTCTTATTTGTAACGAATGATCATAATAATTAACTTCTATCCTAATTCCATACATAACCGTTCATCGAGGAAAATTTTGCCAAGTCTAATATTTTACATGTAAAATGACAGAATATAGTTCTCACCATAACTTGACCCCCATTAATTATATATATTTAAAGAACAATTTTCATAGATTTGTGTGGCCAACTTGTTGCATTGCATATAGGCGATATAAGGAGTTGATCCTTACGTTGCAGGTTCAAATCTTACTATGGGCGGTGAAGACAGGTAATTCAAATGAGACCGTTCCAACTTAGGTCCCATGTCGCAGTGGATGTTGAGACAAACAGAACCTTCCCTGCTAATATAGGACAGAATTTTCAGTGGTAGTGTCTCCATATGAGTGAGAAATTCTCAAAAACACATTAAACAGCATGCATACAAACAAGCATCAATTTATTGAAATACTATACTCTAAATCATGCAAATGTTTCTTGAAGACATTTCTATATTTAGACGTTTCGTTGTGTTAGATATATATTTATCCACAGCATCAACGTTCACCAACTTTAGCTGCTGCTATTGTCATACATAGGTACATATCTTTGTAAAGGAAAAAGAATATAGAAATGCGACTGACAACAAGATACACCGATGTCATAAATTACATTGATATAGAATTTATTCATTTTAATTTGCCTAGCTGCCTCATATTTTTTTCTTTTTCAGTCTGACTTGATTATATTGGTTACAATACCTAACCAATGTATAGGATTACGGTTTGAATGTGTGACTGGTCAAGAGATGATGTTTTCTCCCTTTACGTATCTTATCTCACATCTAGAATGTCCATTATCACTTATTTAGTAGCAAATACACCGATTTTGCAAGGTGCGATACGGTCGACGTCACAATACCCAATATCAGGGACCGGTCCAGAAAATCCATATCACGTATCAGACGTATCAGATCGGAAGAAACGCTTTCTTGATTTTTTAAAATATCCATATAAAATAATTGTTAAATGGGATTTGTGGTCTTATTTTTGTTTAGTTACCTGCATTAGACTCTATTAGATTTTAAAGAAAAAGGTCATAAACAGGCACGAAACGTTCTTCAATAACCATACCTGAACTCGTATATTATATATTTTAAATATTTGATAAATAAAATACTACATACTAAAATCCATATCATATGTCACATCAGCCCTCGGGCCCAATATCAGCTCTTTGCCTTTCGGCCCTCGGGCTCGTATTGGGCCACTCGGGTTATATTACATATGATATAGATTTTAGTATGTATATATTCCTTGTATATTGTGCTTCCTTACGAAGTTGTATCTTTAAGTGTGGATTTATGTGTCTTATATTAGAGAAATACTAAGCTTGATATATTGACGATTTTTGTTAAAACCATTAGCCATACAAAGCGATTGCTGCAAAAATATACTTAGAGAAAAAGGAGAAGGATACCTTAATATGCAAAAAAAAAATAAAAATGAATACATGACCGAAAATACAGCAACTGGTCAGATAAGAATCATGGAATAATCACTTTCATTTAGAGAGAGAACAAAAATATTAACAATAAATTTTATAATAAAAACACGTGAAACTTGATGACAACACGTTTATCAACAATCTTTATGTACTATTTGATGCACTTGAGGTATATACATTGTGATTTTCAGTGTAAACAGCATACGATATGAATTTTTGGCAATCTTGTAATAGTTGATGTTGTTCCATTGGGACAGGTTTTTAAGTGACAGGGCAACAACGTCTTAACCATCATCAGAGAAGACATGACATGGATTATAATCCAGCATATGGGTGATGTTGACGCGTAAAACGTCAACACAAGGTTGTTTATCCTGCCTCCTGATTAATCGCCACCTGTCTACCCAAAAATGATATGAAAAAATAGCTATCATGATCATTACAATCACTGTAAAACTAGAAGAGAAGTATTGCTCGATTTGGGTTGTGGAGTTGATGAACATTGGGGTTGGTGTTCCTTTAAAATGTCCATGTGAGCAGCAGTCACCTATTTTTCTGGCGTTTTCTACCCTTGGCCTATTGTAGACAGGGTATGTCAAGACTTTATCGCAAACAGTCACATTTACCAATGCGAGTTGATTCTGTTGTCTTTATTTTTTTTTTTTAATATCTGCGGGACTGAGTGGAAGATAAGGTTCGAAATACCCAGGTTATATTTTTCATATAACGATTTTTTAAGAGTTCATTATAATAAATTATGATATTGTGAATCAAGGTTGTGAAATATTCGCCAAAGATACATGAGCATTTTCAAGTTCCATGTTAATGGTCAATATTGAAAAAAAATTAGGACCCCCACCCACCCCTCTGATGGAAATAGTTGGTTTTGTCCATTCCGATAACATTTACCATCCACAGGTTGTTTTTTTTTTTGTTGTGCAGAACATATTTTATTGAATTAATAAAATAAATAAAAATTAAAATTATATGCTTTCTTACCGTATGCCAGAGAATACACAACAGCACACAAAAGGACACATAATACATGTACATGCATAGCTCTTCCAACCCCTGGCTGTTCTTAAGGGAGGACAAGGAAGATTAACTTAAAAGATTATGTCCCTGCTAAAATACACTTATATATCCCAATCTAGTACTTAGTTCAAAGGGTAAGTGGATCAAATTACATGTATTATTCTCATTCATACTGTGCATTTACTGGTATATTGACAAATATCATTTACATCAAATGTCCTTCTGCTGAGTTGGTTTGTTTAGAAGATTAACCTGAATAACTTTATAAATTTATTATATATTTATAAATACTTCGATTATTCGGGGAAAAAAAATTTAGAATAATAGTTAAACATCGTATTTTTTTATTAAATAAAAGTTTTTTTTGTTTTTGTTTTTTTTTAATTTGAGGGGATTTTGTCATTACAGCAATACTTTTTTTCTTCGTCTGCCAAGAGTTAAAAAATTTCAATAATGTCCGTTTGTATAATGCAATGGATTGAATGATTGACCTCTTACGTCCCATTCGAAAATGTTTAACTAGTATAAAGAGGTCACCATGAATTGTGAAGGACTTCAAATTTACGCTCTTAGGTACTTAGCGCAATATTGAGAAGTGTGATCTTAATCGTGCCAACGCCTATCGTGATAAGGACCTTGGTTTTTGAACTCTCATGCAAAGGACTCCCAACTTACATTTCAAAGTGTCGACCGCATGGCGACATGGACGACTTATATCAGTAGCAGTCTAGGTTCTAACTCATTATCTTCCGATCACGGAGCGAGCGTTATGCAGATCGATTGCATTTTGTCCATATTCAATGGATAGCATTATTTATTAGGTTTTACTCAAAGGTATCCCAAACAAAAACTATTCTTAACAAATTATGCCAAAATCACATACAAATCATATCAAACTCGCAAATTCATGATTTTGAACTATGATTTAGACATGATCCATTAAATGGATCATACTGAAATCATAGATGACAAATAAGGAAGTATGATCCTGATGTGGTTTGTTTCTGGGGAATGAGTCTGCTATGATTTTCTTGCAATTCTGACATGTGCCATTAACTTAGAAAACAAAGGAACATGAGTTTGAAATGATTCGTTAACTTTAACTGCTAAAAGTTTGTGATTTTGATATGGTTTCTTAACTTTGTCTTTAAACTCCATACGAGTTACACATGATCTGTTAACTTCTCTTTTGAGAATCATGAGTTTTATATGATTTGTTAACTTTGTCAGAATTGGTTGTATGATCCTGATATGGTTTGTTAACTTTGTCATCTATGATAGGTGAAAATGCAAGCTTTTAATTCACTCTAGCTTGGAGAATCAAACATGCATACATCAATAAAAGTCTTATTTAAAGGAGAACAGGAAAATTAAGTTTTAATAATTAAAATGCACACAGCATGTACAGGTATAGTTACAAAGACAATAATTTTTTTGAAGTTGAATGAAATGACAAACAAATACAATAATTCATACTTAAAATAGCCCACATGTATTTTGTTAAAATAACGCAGCCAGGATTTTATTAAAACTCTTTCTCTTCAAGTAATATTAACGATCCACTCCCAATCTAGCTTTGAGGCATTAGATTAGGATTGGATCACTGGTCAGTTTCAGAGTCATAGTAACCTTGTTATGCAATTCTCCTGCCGGGCAGCACGCTGTAGTACAGTGGTTTGCAGCTTATCTAGGTCAGAATTTGAATTGTGATAAACAAGATGTGCGCGTTTTCTTGTTGCCGATTTAAAATAAAAGCCTTTGCATCATATAAGCAATAAAAATAAGTGCTGGACTATTAACTCTATACTCGGTGAGTATAATTCATTAATTTTATTATTGACCTTTTTTTAATTTCTAGTTTCTACCAGCAAGTGCGTGATTTATTTTTTCTTTGTAAATGTGTAGAAGAGACATAGCAAAGCTTTACATGGATTTGAATTGAAAACTTAATTTAAGCATCAAATTGACCTCCTTGATTCAAATATTTGTTGTACATGTACATGTTAATCGTCATATAAAATGTTTATTTATAAAAATGAAATTCTTTTGCAGCTACCGACATTTCCATTTTCATGATTAACATCTGAGTTGCATTCAAATTACCAAATTCCAAAGACCCGCCTTTGGTGAAGACAAAATTTGTGTACGTAAATAATATTACATTTCAACAATATATAGTATTCTTTTGGTGATTAATCTAATTCTGTCCACTAATGCAATGGGGAAAGTAATTGAATATTTCATATTTTCATGATCTAAAGATAATGATATGTTGATCGATAAATAAATACCACTTTCTCTACGTTTCTTTTCAGGGTGCTTATATACACATATAAAGAGCTTATATCAGAGGATAGACTACCTAATTGAGAGCCTTTTCAGTGTTTGTGATTCTGAATAATAGATCCACCACTCTGCTGATTCTGTAGTGAACAAATGTTGTAATTATGTGCTTTTACAGAATCATAAATAAACAGTGATTTCAATGAGTTCCGGATTATTCTTTAAGAGGAATGGATTTCTGTGATTCTGTTCTTAAAAAATTCAGTGAATAGTTTGGATAATGTTTTATATTTAAATCTTCATCTTATTAAGGAAGATCATTTGTTGGGATTATATCTATATGACGTCATGGTTCATGTGACATTTGTGTATAATATTTTTCTTAATTTTTGGTGACTGAAATTATTTATCAAATATTAGAGAGAACTTTATTGCAAATATCAAAGTGTTAAGTTAAATTGTGTAAGAAGTAGAATTTTCCTGTTCAATTTAACAGATCATACCAGGATCATGATTTTGATACGAGTTGTTAGCTACAACAGATCATACCAGGATCATGGTTTTAATACGAGTTGTGAGCTACAACAGATCATACCAGGATCATGGATTTAATACGAGTTGTTAGCTACAACAGATCATTCCAGGATCATGGTTTTAATACGAGTTGTTAGCTCTACAACAGATCATACCAGGATCATGGTTTTCTTGCTAGTTGCTTAGTTTAACAGATTATCTCAGAACCATGATCCATCAGCTCATTTGCATGTGAAATTTTCCTATACCGAAATCATATCAAAACCATGATTTACACATGAGTTGTTAGCATGATCCGATAGGCTTTTTTTCTGTTTGGGTATATGTAGATGTAGCTCCTTACCGCGATAACGAATACATTTCCTACGCAACCTTGTAAAGGCGCCCCAAATGTTTGAAATATGTTCAAAATATATCATTGTGGAGTTAGTTTTAATTTCATTCAGTATATGATGTACTTAAGTAAAATAATTCATATAAAGGGTTCTCTCAAGCTTGGCTATTAATGAATATTTGTTATGAAATCACATGACTCTTTTTGAGCACTCGACGGTCATTCATAATATTTTAAAGTGTGTCACATTAATCCCTATCGCACAGCCGACTAGATTATTGTTAACTTTGTGTTATACAAATGGAGTATTCTTGTGTACCCAAACATTGGTTTGATTAGTAAAGTGATGATTGGTCATGTAAAGATTACTTGATAACAAAATGCATGTAAGTAATAAAAGGGAAGCGAGAAAATTAAAAAGAAAAGTTAAATTTACTAGTATTCCATATTTGAGGGCATTTTCCACACGCATTCTTGGTCGGTTTATTAATAAAATATATATTAATCTACCCTAAGCAAATTTAAAATAGAAAACGAACACCTCTTACATATACAAATTCTTACAAAAGATCACATATCCATCTTATTTACTTGCCTTCGTTATATTCCTTTACGCACATTATATATAATTATACAATATGTTTTTATTTTGGCAGTTGTTTATCTGCCAAGGCAGTTTTTGTCTGCCACCTTTTTTGCTGATTGTTATTTTTTACAATCAGTATTGTTTATTTGGATTTTCTTCATGTAATATGTTACACTGGGGAGATCAACTAATGTTTTGTACAAATTTACACATTTTTCCAAGAGTGATCTCCCCTTTATCTGATGTATCTTTTGATTATCTTTCGTCATTTATACATGTATAATAAATGACAAATTCATCCATCAAACTTTGTATTTGCGTTACTTTAATTTGGATGTCATATGGTGTACATAAATTTAGAAGTATGTGCAAAAAACTATCTTCAGTGAACTTGTAAAATTAGTTAAATTACACTGGAGAACATAAATATATTTCAATTATTTATTTTTCGGTTTGTGTTTTGTACACTATCAATTTCAATCACTTAAATTAACTTATGGTCGCAAATCTTTAAAGCTTTGGACAAATTAGATTCTAAATAATATAAAAAAAAAATAAATGGACATTTGGATTAAGCTATAACATTCTCTTAAGTAAAATAAATTTGGAAATGGGACTTTAAAATAACTATTCTCTCCCTGACATAAAAAGTCAAGTTTACTGTATCTTGGCGTTTTTATTTCATTCTAATGACATATATACAGGTAACTGTATTTCAGAACACGATGCCACACATTATACTCTTACATATTTTGAGGGAGTCTTCGCAGATCTCGTTAAATTACTTTATACATGTATCTATAAATTTGAGATTAGGCATAATGCAGATAAAATTTATTTGAATAAAAGCTTTTTGCAAAATTCTATCAGAATGTAAAGGGTCTTTTTTTTCTTTTCCTCACCCAAATCAATACTGCAGAAAAAGATACAATTCAAACTGCGTAACTGACTAACCAATCACGTTTACCTTAATAAAGGGCTTCTATATTCCATCTGAAAATCAATCTGTTAGTTGATAGAAAAATATGATCAACTTTAAGGTCATCTGTATTATTCCTCTCTTCTCTTGGTTGTCTAATGCTAACTTGATTTCTCTACATTAAACCAAAAAACCTTGATTAAAAAAGTCAGAACTGTTTGTGCTTTTTGCTTAATGTGTCGGAATGATTGATTGTATATTTTTAACGGCCCATTCGATATTTTTTCGCTCATATAGAGACGACCTACACCAGATGCCAAAGAAAGGCTTCAAATTTGGATCTTAACTCAGCACTCAGGGCCATTACATGTAAGGAGTGAGGGTTCTTTGTCGTGCCAACGCTTACTGCGAGGCGGGACCT